TTTCAGCCGCTTCCACCGTCCCTTCCCTCCAGCTCTTTCCACCTTATCACCACTGAGCGACGGTCGTGGGCGTGGCGGCCGGCGCTCGGCCCTTCACCTCACACCTCCCCCCTGACTCCTACCAGTCCTTACCTGTCCTGGGGTCGTCAGTGTCAAGTTCCTTCCACTCCTCGTCTCCACGGCGCCTGTCTCACAGCTTCCACCGTATCACTACACGTCTGGCTCTGACACCACTACACGACCGACCAGCACAACCACGGTCGACTGTGCTACCGCCGCGGCGAGCAACGCCCCGCAGCGGCTGGCCGCGGCCGCCGCGCCGCTGCCGTCGGGGAGGCGGTGGGCGGAGCCTCGGGGAGCGCCGGCCGGCCGGCCGGCATCGGCCAGAGAGGGCTATTTGTGAAATGAATGTGAAAAGGGACATCATTCTTAGGAGCGATGTGAGTGATAGTACGAATTTGTAGATTTCTTACCAAGAGGAGAGTGGTCAAGTCCACGGGTTGATGATCATAGAGTCAGAAGACGTCGTCGGCCGTGATGACGTCATGCTGGAATGACGTCATGTTGCCTGGGGCGGACCGGTATTCAGCGCAGTGGCGACAGGCGGCACCCAACATCGTCAGCGATGTTATGGACCACGGCGCCCAAGGCCCTAAAACACGGCGCCAGATCAGCCGACAATTGAGCTGAAACATCCACAGTGAACGGATGAGTGTCAGGCACATTGAGTCACGGTTCCACGCCCACTGAATCGCGCGTTGGTGGTATAAGTAGAACGAGGATAAGGACGCATCATTCCCAGCAAAATTATGGGGTAGGTTGTATCCCATCTAGAATACCGATGCCAGATACAGTATGCATTACCTGACCGGTGAGTCATTTTTGACCCGGGCTGCGGAGTCGATGGATTTTCGGCGACTCCGACTCCGACTCCGACTCCGGCTTTCAAAAACCAGCTCCGACTCCGACTCCGACTCCGGGCAGAATTGTCGACTCCGACCGACTCCAACTCCCGACTCCGACTCCGCAGACCTAGCAGGGCTGCGGAGTCTTTTCGGTGACTCCGACTCCGACTCCGGCTCAGGTTTCTAAAATTGACTCCGACTCCGACTCCGACTCCGGTCACAACTGTCGACTCCGACCGACTCCGACTCCGACTCCGACTCCGCAGCCCTGATCGCCCTGATTTTGACTTTTGAGTCGGTTCAGTTTGTCTGCATCTGATATATGTGATGCATGAATATGATCAACCAACTAATGGGCATTGGGCAATGATACCATCCACGGAGCACAGGATGCATGCCTACATTCCACAGAAGCAACCAGATTCAGAATATTTTCAGCCTTTCCACTTCAGTCTTCAGGGATGTTTTATACTTTAATTTCAAATTTGAGACGACCCTTATGCACTCGTTATGCGCCAGGCGCGGCCATAGCGCGGGACGCGACGCCAGCGCCGCCTATCGGCAACGCCAGAGAACTAAGGTCGGTGAGAGCACGGATTTTGATGGGTGATAGCGCAGTGTGAAAAAATAGGAAAGTTACATGAAAATGTCGCTATACTACGGTATAGTTCACCATCTGAGCGACATATTTATGTATTTTTATCCATGGCGGATAAAAATTGGACCCGGGATCTGGCCATGGAAGAGAAAAATGTTGGTCAGCGTAAGCACGGATTTTCGTGGAAATGAGCAGAGTGTGAGAAAATAGGGAAGTTACATAAAAATGTCGCTATACTACGTTGTAGTTCGCTATCTGAGCAACATATCTATGTATTTGTTATCCATGGTGGATAAAAATTGGACCCGGGATCTGGCCATGGAAGAGAAAAATGTTGGTCAGCGTAAGCACGGATTTTCGTGGAAATGAGCACAGTATGAAAAAATAGGGTAGTTACATAAAGATGTCGCTATACTACGCTGTAGATTACCATCTGAGCAACATATTTATGCATTTTTTATCCATAGCGGATAAAAATTGGACCTGGGATCTGGCCATGGAAGAAAAAAATATTGGTCAGTGTATGCACGGATTTTCGTGGAAACTAGCACAGTATGAAAAAATAGGCAGCTTACATAAAAATGTCGCTATACTACGCTGTAGCTCACTAACTGAGCAACACATCTCTGCACTTTTTATCCATAGGAGAGAAAAATTCGACCCGGGATCGGGACATGGAAGAAAAAAATATTTGCACCACCAAATGAAATTAAGATACATCACTCCCGTTATATTTGTATTGAGTCTTTCATGAAACAATTTCGCTATACTACGGCAAACAGCATGACGTCTCGCATATATTGAGACATATTTTGACAATGCAATGTAGGTATAATACAATTTGGAATGTTCATAAACATTTTATCTTCTCCTGCCAAATCCCGGTGCCAATTCTCCCCGAATATTGGTAAAAAATATGTCAGGGTAAACGCAGGGGCGGCGCCACGGGTTTTCGATAGGGGGGGACGGGGACCGAAACTCGAAAATCCCAAAAGTAGGTAGATACTGATCGTGTATGCAAAAAAAAAAACGAGGCACGTAACGCCGCGAAACTTGGCAAAGCCCAAAACACATCGAATCGTGCATCCTGTTTCCAAACTTATCCTAGGACACCTAAGATCGATCACCTTTTCAAGCATCCTTGCCTCTAAATCAAAATTTGCAGTCTTGCCAACTCAAAGCTGGTTTCCTACAAGCTGCGAATTGCTCAGGTATGAGTAGCAGTGCCAACTATTCTTACGTTTCGTACTTTCAAATTTTCGATCTTACGTTTGGTCAGCTTCAGGGCTTCACCATTATATAGTCATGGAGGAAAAGTGGGAATGTCTTCTGCTCTGACAAGTGCGCCAAAACTGCAATATAATTTCAGAATCATGACATCACCACCTGATCCACATGCAACGGGCAGGGTGCAGCTAATGGCTAGCCGTCAGTGCCCAGTGGTCATGTCATCGGTGGGCACTCAAAAGGTCATGCTAGGTCATGGAAGGTCACCAGCCGTTATTTGATCACACTTTCTGATGGATTTTACTTGCCAAGAGCTTCGCGGGAAAAACGAGCGCATGCACCGTTGAAAAACAATGAGTGAAAGGGTCTCAGGTCCGGCGACCTCTGCAGGTGAAATGCCCCAGGGTAGGATTCCGGTCCTTGTTGATTAACTTCGTCAAAAATGGCAGTAGAGCTGTGATGTCGGCACCATTGTGTTCGTCATGATCGAGCTGGCGCGACCTGTATCGTTCTCATATTAACTCTCCAATCGTAACAACTACCTACAGCAGGGATTGGCAAATGGCGGGGTACACCCTTTGGGAGGTAATGAAGGTCTCTGGAAACCTCATCCCTCATCTCTTTAGCATTAGTGGCTCTCCTTATGGAACAGGTTTCTTGACTGGTCTGTTTCACCCCAGAATTCAAAGACCAGTCAAGGTAAAACCGAGCGCACCACAGTGAGCACAATTTGATAAGCTGGGTTATCTCAATTTTCATGTAGAACCTTTCACGTCTCACGTACCTAAAACCCTTTCGTGCACTCATGCAAAAGCAACTGCCATGTTTCAACAGCTGGTAATGGCATTTTCACAGCCGCTGACGTAAGAAGGGGAGGGGTGGGGGGCTCGATTAGACCCCTAGCCGTTCGGTCGGCCGCCGACCGAACTTAGTTTTGCAGAAAAAACGAGTGCTATCGAATCCCTTGACGAGAGGGAGCCGATGCTATCCAATTATATGGTCTTGTGCTACTGCGTGCTTTTTTGGTCCTGCCTCTGATCTATCCGAACACTTCTCCCCACAAGTGCTGGGGTTGAATGGCATAGATTTCAAATGGTTCCTGTGGTAGAACTGCCATGCTTGAATTTGACTTATTAGGAATGGAAAATATCCATATAGTAACGGAAATCTATGGAATTTCAGTGAACTTGATTTTGTCGGCAATGGGGTCTGGCAGTGGGGTGGGGAGGTAATAACCCTGCCTGGCGCCACAAAAGGGGGGGGGGGCACGATCCCCGAGGCCCTGCCGATTACCTTATAACTACAGGCATCACAGCTCCACACCTTTTGCAGATGGCCAGGACCCCCTGCGATACATCCCAACAGCAATGGCTTATTCAGAACCTGCCTTGATTAACCAACGATGCATTAAATGCGACGGATAACTCTACAATGCATTATTATCAACAACTGAACGGGCCTCGCCGATAGGGGGGTACTGTACCCCCCTAACTTTCGATAGCGGGGGACCTGTCCCCCCCGTCCCCCCCGGTGGCGCCGCCCATGGGTAAACGCATATTACTGAATTTAATTGCATTATATCGCATTTTTCAGTTTATCGTTAAGTCTCCACACAGGGACGTTTTTATCTGAAGTTTGGCCGCCGGAGCCCCCGCGAGGCCTAGTTGCACGAGTAGCCGATAGTCGGCGCCACCGTCGCACTCGGCCGCAGCCAGTATACTGCCAAAAATGGAGCTATTATGATATCGCTCGTTGGTAACTAAGTGTGGCGTGCTTCATAAATGATCGCCGCATAGAGAAACAACCGTTTAATGAAGAAAATGACTTATATTTTACTCATAATAACAATCTGAACCCCAATGTCCGCTTCTATATGGAGTTTGGCGCATAACGTGAAGACTCAACCGCCCAACAACCGCCGAACTCTGCGCCGACCGGGCGTATGTTCCTTACCTTAGTCAGTGTCCCACTTGGAATTCTATCTGAACTATTCTGAACTATTATTCCAGAACTGAATATCGACGACAAACTTAAATCACAGATATATCATGCAAAATTTTCGGGGGTGACCATTTGGCTGACAGCCCGCCTTCTCCACGAACAATCATGGCCTCCCGCGAAGGATTCCCCTGTATTTCCCTACATATGGAAGCTCACAAATGCGGCATAAAAGGTGCTCGAGAGACAAAAAACTCGTGTTTAGCCGTGTTCTATCTTAGAATGGTCATTCGAACTAGCTTCAAGTTTCCATGGTAACTTCAGCTTCTACTAACATTGAAGCTGATGATGACGTATACAAGTATATAAGTGTCCAATAAGAAGTTGCAGAAATTCCTCATTTTGTTAGCTATGACGTCGAAACTTCAGAGGAAGACATGACGTCAACCAAGAGGAAGTCACTAACTGCTGCTTGCTGCCGTACTGTTGAACAGCTGTTTGGTAAACAACAAATGTAATTAGATTGCTCTTCTCCAAGGTCAACGAAAGTGTCATCCGTGCCGGTCGGTCAGCGGGCGGTCCCCATTCGGCCTTGGAAGTTCGCCCGCCCTCGATCAACCGAGAGGATCACAGGAGTCCAAACTCCAAGTCAACTTGAGATTGCCACAGTGACTCACAAATAAGAAAATATTTACCTCAACTGATTGGAATATTTGTCAGGTGAGCTTTTGAGTGTTATGAGTCGGAGATTCTGTTCGTTCTTAACTTGAACTGACTTACTGGTTTGGGCCAAAACTTAGCAATAATTTTTGTTTTATCTACAACTGAGCAGGCAATGATATGATGCTAATACAACTCTGAGAATGGGTAATGTATCAGGGGCAGATGCCCTGAGTGACAACCTTTTACTTTGTAAGCTTTCATGAAGCTCATGAATTGTCAATTGTGATTCACAATTAAATTGGATTAAGGAGTCCTTGGCGCCAGGGCCCTATTTCATAACCGCTGCCAGCACTCTGCCAACAGTCAACACATGTGTCAAATTGGGTTTCCATGGAGCCATCAATGAATTTATGCCTCAAACGCCACAATCTGTGATGCAGGGTGACAGAGTCGATGGTTTTCAGGTGACTGACTGACTCCAGCTTCAAAATTGACTCTGATTCTGAGTCCAGCTCTTCTCCAAGGTCAATGGAAGTGTCATCTGTGCCACGACATTCAGGATGTTTCTCTTAAAATCCATATTATGTTAATGAATTAAAGTTCATAATGAAGATAATTTTATTTTGTCTTATAGATCCTTTGTGCATGAAAGGGCTCGGGCCCTCGCATTGCACTATTTTCTGCCATCTCTTTTTTAACCTAGTTCAAATCTGTGGAAAGGAGGGATTCACAAGGACAGAGCCCCTGAAAGCTGATCTTGTGTTGGCCCTGCCCTCTACCCTCCAATTGCAAAATGCCTTATCTATGGCAGGATTCGGAGTCTGAAGTTTAACATATGCACATAGCCAGCATGGGCAGTCCCCTCACTGACTGCCTGGATACAGCAGCTGCTATCAACTACAACCATACCTGTCAGGAGGCTCATAAACATTGAGCGCCTGTCTGCTTCCAACCCGGACTATTATAACCGGGTCGCGTGCTGTCACCACGCGTAGTCGTAGTCTAAGTCCGATGCTCTACCGGCTGAGCTACAGGACGGGCAACACCTGGGAGAGTCGGTCAAAGTCCAGTGCAACAGAGAACCAGTCGGAGGATCACCAGGCACCGGGCACCCTGCACCGTCCGATGACGATGGGTTTGGTTTTAGACTCGCCCAAACTGTAGAGGTCATGGGCTTTTATCTGCTCCGAATGAATTACTGGCATCACAGATGCTGTGCCATGGACGCACGCAAGGCCGACGCGGACGCATGGCCCAGACCGCGGCCGCAGGTCCGGGGCTGGGAACTCAACGGACGTTTTTTTTTGTGCGGGGTGATGTTACAAGGGCGTTATTGCATTACACGGCTTAGGTGCAGAGTGTCAGTGTAGCGAGTAGGTAGGTGCAATGCGCGTCGTGGAGTTGTCAGGTACCAGTAATTTGAAGACACATCGTTAGAAGTTGCTAATCCTGTGTGGAATCAATTGAGCCATGTGATATTTATGTTAGTTGGCACCCTGTACCGGGACCAGCCATGCCTATCGGTGATCGACTTTGCACCGTCCGGACTCTGTCTGTGACGACACCTGCGCCATTCGGGCAATCCGACAATGACGTCACACGACGTTCCTACTTGAGAGCGCTTCTTCTAGCACAGGACACTGGGGAGGTGCTCTGTGACGACGCCATCTTCCAAGTCCAGAACTTGTACATTATTTTTTTAGTTTCCGGTTCAGGGCAGTGAACGAAACTAGATGTTGCGTGATGATGAACCTAAACGTCGTGATGGGATGAGAGAAGTGGTTATCGTAGCCTCTTTGCTTTTTTTTTTGCTTTTTGAAGTTGAAGCGCAATCCTGAAGTTTGATTTTAAGGTCACGATACACGACAGGTCAAGTTCAGGTCAAAGGGCGAAATTGAGCGCAGGTACTTATTCACTTAAGATTCCAGTGAACGCTGTGTTCATCGCATCGAGCTCACTTTTGGAGCGAACACTGACAAAAAGATATAAGGTTATTCCAATTAAGTGAAAAACAGAGATGCGAAGAGCAGAATATCATGAGACCGCAGGCTGGTGAAGCCCGGCCCTGCCGGCCGGCCTGCTGCGGTCTTGGCGCGCCGCCGCCGTCAGCCAGCGGTGACGTCAGAGGGCGGCTGCAGACCGTGACCCGGTATGCTGGGCGCGCGGGACGGACTCCTTCACTGTCAGCCACTTCCGGTGAACCGGGGTGCACCGTCGGCCGGGTGATCACGTCAGAACAACGGGGCAGCGCTGTTAGAACTCGCGTCCCTTTTCATGGCGCTGTGGTGCACTTGGTACCCGACTGAAGTTCGATGTGTTATGCCAATGTTGAGTTAGTAGGACAAAGATTCTTCCGAATGAATAAACATTTAGCCAGAATTGGCCGTAATTGTATGTACCGAAACACGGTAATAGACAAACACATTTGCATATATCGCGTCGGCTATGTAACTTTTCTTGGGTCTTGTATAGCATATTGAATATTGATATGGGCTTTTGATGTTATGTATGCTTATTACGTGAATGCTTATGATACAATACATCAGCTTATGATGCGGTGTAATATGACTCGTCTGTTCTCCTCTTCCAGCAGACGTGAAATTCGTTGACGAACTCCGCGAACCGATCGTCAGTCTCGCCATGGGCTCCGGGGGCCGGCTGCAGTGGGCGGCCGTCTCGGTGGCGGTCGTGCTGCTGGCCGTGTGGTACCGGCAGCCGGCCGACCGGCTGGACGCCGTGCTGGAGAGCCTGCTGCGCGCCGAGCGGCTCACCGCCGCCCCGGAGGTCACCGCTGACCGGCCGGCGCCGCGCGTCGCCGTCGGATACGGCGGCTGCATGGACCTGTTTGCGCGCGCGCTGTCCGTGCTCGACGACGGCCAGTGTCAGGTGCGGCCGGCCCACCACGGCTTCCTGAAGGACCGCCGGCAGCTGCAGCAGACGTTCCTCTACTTCTTCCAGCACGGGGCCGCCGCAGAGTGAGTGATGGACCGCAGCTGGTCGGGAGGGGAAGGGGGGGGGGATTGGGGGACTCAACTTTGGGGTAGGCAGGAGCCGGGGATGGAGTTCGACGTGAGGGGCTGTCGTTCAGGGAGAAAAGATCCTTTGCTTAGAATTGTGGTATATTTGTCTTACCAAAGAATCTTACTCAATTTCCAAGGATATCGCAACCGTCGTAACAATTACCCATGACAGATGGCATTACGTAATACGTATGTCAGGGTGATTACACCCAGCGGCATGCTCCCAGGCTGCTTGCCAGTACGGCTGTTTTCTTTGGCCGCTGCCTTCCTCACTGTGGGCCGTGTCTCTGTGTCTGCTGACAGGCGGTATAACTGAGACTGCTCCCTGTTTGCTGAGCTGCCTGTCATCACTGTCTATCTGTGTGTGGACAGGCGGTACATCTCCGACGGCTCCCTGTTCGCCGAGCTGGTGGCCCTGGCTCGGAAGGCGCCCGACGCCCGGTACGAGGTGGGCGGTAACGCGCCCGTCATGGCGGCCCGGTTCGCGCGCGAGGGCTGCTCCGTGCTGCTGGGGAGCGGACGGTACGCCGGACAGCACGTGCCGGAACGAGTGGAGGTGGTCGGACCGCAGACCCCGCAGCCGGACATTCACCTGATCCTCGAGTATGCCGCTAACACACAGTGGTGCCGTCAGGCCACCACCAGGGCCAACAGGTCAGTGGCGAGACGGGACGGGTCAGGGTGGGAGGGGTCCGGTCGGGGACGGGATGAGTCGGCCATGATGAAAAATGGTCTAGTCCGATCAGAGGATAATTAGTCGGGTCAGGCTACAATTATCAGACCACCATAGGAAGCCGGAAGCGCATTAATTCAGCAAAAATTGTATACTTACAGCTAAAATTGTTATTCGTGTCTATTAGTTCCGGTGACTGGTGGCGTCAGTTCAGTTTAGCGATAGACTGTGCTAGCTTGGTCAGCACAGGATGTCAATACCGTATCGATGCCGCAGATTTTGGATCTAACATGAGACTGCGGTCTGCGTGGCAGGTTCATCATCCACAGCGACGTGGCCAACCCCACGCTGTCAGCTCTGGAGGACTTTGGACAGGCCCTGAAGAAGTTTGACCCGGACATGCTGGTCGTTTCGGGGCTCCAGATGATGGACAACTTCCCCTTCAAGGAAGGTAGGTCGGAATAGATCGCTTCTCAGTATATGCATTCAAAATTCAACACCAGCCGTCGACAGATTCGTCGGTTGTCGACGGCTGGTGCTCTCGGGGCTCTGTTCAGTGCCGAAATATTGCGGTATTTAGCGTAGTTTGGTGTTGAAATTATATTTGCTGGAAAGAGGATTCATCAATTACCTACAGGCCAGCTGGGGAACTTTTGAACTGTAGCAGATGAAAAGTTTTTGAAGATCTTAAAATTTAAGATTTTGGCAATTTTCACTTTTAGCTGGCTTCAGTTTTCCTAGGAAGATGATTTGATTTTTTCGCGCGGCATTCGTGACGCCCAACGCAGTGATCCTCCAGTCTCCACTTTCTAGACTCATCTTTTGAAGCGACTGAAACTAAGCAAATACAATGATCGATCCTCAAGCTTACCGTCTAAGAATTGGAATGTTCTGTATCCGAATGAGAAGAAAATTGAAATCAGATAAATCAGATGAATTATTTCAGCATGATTCGCTCGCTTTGGGGATCGCCCTGATCCTCACACTACTTGTGATCGGAGGCGTGGAGCAGAATCCCGGTCCCGACTACACTGATGATCCTCTTCCTGGCCCTTCATTCTCCGACGTGACCTTGATGGATGTCATGGAAGCCATTCGTATCAGTCAGCTGCAGATTGATCAGCTCTCAAGGCAAGTCGACGCTTTGATGGCGGCAGTAAGAAAGACATCTAATGATGATAGGCATGCGCTACCAATACCACCACCGACGGATGCCACTATGGGCAGCTCCTCGGCCTCTCGTCCGACCCAGACGACTCCATGTGACCCACCTCATAATATGAGTCCTGAGCCCAGCGCAACAAATGAAACAAAGTCGCCGATCAATTCTAGCTCGCCATCACCACCCATAACTGGCGCTGAGTCGCCGACAGTCATCCGGCAGAGAGGGAGCAGGAGTGCCAGAGCAAGTTCGTTGCCGAGCGTTGGGGCGGTCATGCTCGGCTGCCAGAACGTGCGCCGTATCGCTGTGGCAGCTAGAGACGAGTTTCTCCTCGGTGGACAAGTTGTCTTCAAGAGCATCAGGGGAGGAACCGTACGCGGCGTCCTGGGAGCCCTTCACGGTGCCGTGGCTGGCTGCAGGGCGGTCAGCGCTGATCTTGTCCTTCATCTCGGAGGTAACGACTTGGCTCGGCAAAGTGTGGACTATACTCTGGACTGCATAGCCGAAGTAGTCAAAGCTGCTAAGCAAGTAAGCAAGGTAAGAGACATCATAATATGCTCAGTCCCTCAGGATCCATCCACACCAATGAACTATCCAACCATGAAACGTGCAGACCTGAACGATGAGATCGAGCGACTGTGCCTGAGTGAAGGCATTCACTTTCTTGATCTACGACCACGGCTAAATGAGTGCAACTTTCATGGCTTAGACAGGTCCAGATTGAACTTGAACAGGGCAGGGTGCAGAAATGCTTGGCAGATGCTGGCGAGCGAGGTGACTGGTTTTTTAGACTAACGCCCGTCAGCAGAGATTGTTCTGCTTTTGTTGCTGAAGGGACTGCTGAAGCTAGAGCCAATGTCCTGTCCAACCAAGAATGTAAATCAAAATATGGACTATCGATTGGCAACTTGAATGTGAGGTCGTTAGCGCCATCGGCAGATCTTATATCTGATTATGTCAAACGTCACGACCTCGATGTAGTGTGCTTCACTGAGACGTGGCTAAGGAGGGGTGTGCCGAATGTCCCTATTGCCAATTTAACATTAGCCAGTAGAGTTGATAGGAAACGCAAGGGCGGGGGTGTAGCCATTTACTGTCGAAGTGATTTGACTCACGTTAGGCTGACCTGTCCTACCATGCCTAGCTCAAGCCGCCTTGAGTTAACTTGGGTGAACGTGCAGTGTGGACATAACCGGTCATTGGTGATCGGCTGCGTGTATAGACCTCCCACATATGACGGTATTAAACAGGATCTTGAGGCCCTAGAGCTATCAGTCCAAAAGTTCTTGTCAGAGGGCAAACAGGTGGTTTTGTGCGGCGACCTAAATTGTGATCTCCTGCGCCCGAATCTACCCCATGTTCGACCACTGCTTGACCTCATCAACAATACTGGGCTGCATCAGTGTGTCCACCATCCGACCCGTGTTACAAGTTCTTCGTCCACTCTTATTGACATTGTTCTTGTAAGTGATTGCTCCATTGTGACAGGATGTTACTCTGAGGATTGCATCGTATCTGATCACAACCTAGTAATTGTCAAAATGAAAGTGAAAAGGACTAGAGTGAAACCCAAATCAATCACTTTCCGAAGATGGAAAAATATTGATTTGCAGACGTTCACTAATGAGCTGCATGCGATTCCCTGGCCCACAGTGGCTAGTGCTTCAAATCCCGATGAGGCCTGGCAGAACTGGACGGACACAGTCGTCCCCATTATTGATCGCTATGCTCCGTTCGTTACTGTTTCATTCAAACATAAATCTGGATTTGGTGTTTCCTCTGCCACCAGACACCTCATCCGTTCTACGACGGCTCAGTTGCGAATTGCTCGGCGTTCTAACGCTCCGTCAGACATTGCTGTCTATAAGCATATGCGTTGGCAAGTAAAACGTGCTATTATTTTAGAACGACGAATGAAATTTGAGCACAGTATAAAAAAGAATACGTCCAGCAGAGATACCTGGGATCTAATAAACGTGACGTTGGGTAAGGTCAAACAGAGTCAGCATCTGGACAAAAACACGGCATGGGCATTCAACAACTTTTTCTGCTCGGTCGGGCAAAATATTTCCGCTAATGTGCCAGCCAGTTCATTAACTGATGACATCGCTTACGGACCGCCAAGAGTCTTATCTACTAAGTTCGATCTTCGTCCAGCTACCTTGGCTGAACTGCGGTCAGTAGTGCGATCCTTAAAGGTAAATTCGTCCTCAGGACCCGATGGACTCCCTGCTTTTCTATTTAAGTCTTTTTCTAGCAGGTTACTCATGCCACTCCTGCGGATATTCAACTCTTCCATTACCAGCGGTACCTTACCATCGTGCTGGAAGACAGCTGAAGTGGTGCCTGTTCATAAAGGTAAAGGTGATATTAAAAATGCGTCCAATTACAGGCCGATTTCGCTGTTGTGCATTGCTTCTAAAATTATGGAGAGACTCGTCGCTCTTCAGCTTAAGGAGTATTTGAGCGACTCTTGTGTGTTGTCGGACGAGCAGTTTGGATTTCGACCGCGTCATTCCGTAGAGCACGCTCTCATTGCTTTAACAGAGTCCATCAGGTCCTCTATTGATAGGGGTAATGTATGCATTTTGGTGTGCCTTGATTTGAGCAAGGCATTTGACTCTGTAAACCATCATATGCTGCTAGATAAACTCTCCCAGTACGGTATTGACCACCCCTGGTTCAAAGCCTACCTAACAGATAGATGCCAATATGTACGAGGCTGTAGTGATGTTACAGGCCTTGTCTCATCGGGTGTTCCACAAGGAAGTGTCCTGGGTCCTTTACTGTTTAACATATATGTGAACGATTTGCCTACTGTCGCTCCTGAGCCAGGTTCCATGATTCAATATGCTGATGACACCCAGGTGCTAGTGTCTGGATCACCTCACGACCTGGTTGATATGGTCGATCGTCTTCAGGTTTTGCTTAAAAAGTTAAGGACTTGGTTCTCACAAAATCACCTATCACTGAATGTTGCTAAATCACAGGTTATTGTTTTTGGCTCCAAGGTTATCTTGAAACGGATCGACCTGAAGAGCATACAAATATTTGATACCGTCGTGCCTATCAAACGGTCCGTGATCAGTTTGGGTGTGACACTTGACAGCTGTCTCACATGGAGCAACCACATTGACACAATTACGGGCAAATGTATCGGCATGCTAATCCGTTTGAGTCAGCTGCGCCACATGATGCCTTTAAAAACTATTGTCCTACTGATAAACTCGTTAGTTTTGCCGCATATGCGTTTCTGTGTTTCAGTGTGGGGAAACTGCAGTATGACTCAAGCAAAAAGAATAGCTAAGATTGTTAAATTTGCCAGGCGAATCGCGGGTCGCGAAGGCAAAAGTGTGGCATGGCGTGTTGATCTTGCCACGGAATATAAAATTGCTGCTCTTAATATTGTCCGCCAATGTCTGCTTTTTCCTGAAAGTACAACGCCTCTCGTTTCGACGCTTTTTATGACACGACAATCTGAACGTAACACAAGACAATCAGAGAACCTTGATCTTGTTGCCCCAAGAACGGAATTCATGAAAAATTCTCTTTCTTACCAAGGCTCTAAGCTTTGGAACAGCTTGCCCCCTCAAGTGAGGAACGCCTCAAAGAATGAAGTAATAAAGTACATTCTAACTAAGGCAGACATTGACAAGCCATGATTATCGGTCATATGCTCGTACTTATACAATGTATCGTTTCAACGTGTGCAATTGCCAGTGTTTCATTTGATGTCACTCGCCAGTCACTGCACTTTACGTTTGAGGACTACTTCTTTGTATCAGGAGAATATTGATATGGTGGCAGTTTGAGTCTGTTCATGTAACGTGCATGTAGCCTGTAGGTAACATGCATAGGTAATAGGTATGTTCATACGTGGATCATGTAAAGTGTTGTGTACCTGGTGAACTGTATGTATGTACCTACCTCGTGCCTATTTTCACCGTAACGCCCACGTTTCTGTGGTTGGTGAAAATAAATGAAATAATAATAATAATAATAATAATAATAATAAAATAAATTGTCGACTATCCTCCAGCTTTTACACACGGCTGCACGCTGTTGTAAGTGGCGCTGTAGTTTCTATAAGAGTAAGGTGCGCAGCTGTTGTTGCGCTGTAATGACGCTCAAGTTAGCCGATCAGTGACACATACCGCTCTCTCGTTCTGCGTCAGGCGCGCGCCGGCAGCGGCTGGAGCTGCTGCGGCAGCAGCTCGTCTCCCAGCAGAGCCGCACCAAGATCCACTTCGAGATGGCCAGCTTCACCGACACGCAGCTGCTGACCGAGATGCTGGAGCTGGTGACGCCCTACGTCGACTCGATGGGCATGAACGAGCAGGAGCTGCCGAACCTGCAGAGTATGCTGCTGTACGGCAACGTCAGCCTAGTGTCGGACGCCAACCCGCGCGTGGCCGGCGTGCTCGATCAGATGAGAGACGTCATGAGGTGGGTGTAGGAGCTGTACTTACACTGTGCACTCGTTATTCCTAATGGCGCTTATTATCGTCAATTAGAGCATACGCTGGTGCTGGTCACCTGTAAAGTATGGGCCAAAAGATTGTTAGTATTGAAAAATAAGGCTTGGGTCTTAAAATTAGACTGATCCCAAAGGCATAATAAATGGATACCATATATTGGTTTTAATGCGTAAATTTGAAGGTCCCTTAGATTATTCCCCATTCTTATTTGGCCTTGGTCGCAAAGGATTTTGTGCCATCAGCGGTCAAACCCTCGTTCCGACGTACATTGATAAGATTTATGTGTTGTCCACATCAGACCTTGAAGACGGTCGTTACCTCGGGTCCACAAAGACGCAAAACATTAACGTTTGTGCGCAATGTGAGCTAAGATCCGTGCATAATCATCGTTTTCCGGGCGCTTATAATCACACTTCTGCCGGGCCGTCTGCCGTACAGTCTCGACTGCCGCCTACTGTACAGCCTCGATATTGTGCCGTTTATCGATCGCCTTATATGTGGTGGAAACGGGTCGGTGCCAAGGGCTACGGGCCGATACGGGCGTGGTGTCGGCCGGCAGAGGCATGAGCCGGCGTGGTGATTGGAGCTCCCCTCGAGTCCCTGCTGTTCACTGTAGCTCGGATACGCCGCGGCTTTCAGCGAACTGGCAGCTTTATACAGAAGGGACTTTTTCGCCTTTCAACACATTGGTTGAATGGTGAACTTTGTCGGTTTGGGTTTTTTTCAGATTCATGAGCAAAACATTGCCCAGTGTAAGCATCCCGGCAGAGAAAAAATTCAAAGGACTTTGCTCTGGCTACGTACCATTTTTAGGCAGACTGCATTACATGCCTGCTAACTGGTGATGCCTGCCGGTCGGCAATGGCTGGAGCGCTGCTCGAAAACCGGTCTGGTAATCTCTTGTTTGTACTCCGGAGTCCGGTGATGTCTGCCGTCTTCACTAGTTAACCCGGAAAAATGGGCAGTCCTCGCTGCAACTTTTATCGCGGCTGGCTGCTGCAAGTCCAGTTTTCCGCCGGCGCTATCCACTTATCGGAAACAGACAGCCGCCAACACGCGTTGTTAGGGACGCGGCACATTCTGCCAACCATTATTCTGATACCGGTGACGTTTTGTGTTGAATTATGCAGCTGAGGAGGAATCTATTTGTGTGTTATGGTGAAATGCATAGACTGCATACCTTGTGAATTGCTCCTCATTCCATGGCTCTGGGCTTTCTCCCTGTAATATTTGGTGATACATGATTCGCTCTCGGGATATTTTGGGTCATCCCAATTTCCACCCTGTCCTTGCGTGTCAAATGGGCTACGACCGTCTTCAGGGCGCTGGGTTAGGCACGGTCGCTCCCTGGCTGACTTGTACTTCCATCTAAACCCTCCCCGTTCCCAGTAAGCTGCACTGACCCGTGACCCGTTACCCCTCCCCAGGGCACTAGGTGATGTGGTGCCAGACGCCGGGTCGGGCCGCCGGCCCCTGACGCGGCTGCACGTGCACACGCTGGCGTTCCAAGCTATCATGACGCGGCGCGACTCGATTTGGAAGAACTCCATGTCGGCAGCGGCGCGGGCGTCGCTCACCGCACACCGGCACATCTGTGGGACCAAACAGGTGCGGACCGCGCTCCGGGACGGCGACACGGTACCTGCTGACATGAGCGGCCGGGCCGCGAGGGACAGTCCCGGGGGTTTTACTGTGTCCGGGGTATGCAGCGTGCCAGCAGCAGTTATAACTTATATGTCACGTCACATGAGCGTACGCTTGTTGGTGTACTGCCCACATGCTTGCAGTTGTCTGGCATGCTGGCGCATATTTCTGGCAAACTTATGTGTTGAAGTATCGTCCCGTAGCCGTGACACTATGCTGCCGCTCTGATGTTAATCATCCGCATCTGACGTATCTACTGCGCCTGTGACACACTGCCAAACCTCTGACAGTATTCTTCCGCGACTCTGACACTCGCCTCTGACATACTTCTTTCCTCTGACCTGCCTGCATCTGACATCGGTTTCTCCTCTGTCATAACCTGTCTGTGACATCTGACTGAGGTGTATCGTCTGAGGCATTCCCACCTGCCGTCAGGTGGACACGCGGAAGGCTCGTCTGATCATGGACGACAGTTTCTCCGTGTCGAGTGAGCCGGGCAGCCGGCGGGTGCCGTTCGACCCCAGTCGACCCGTCAGCTGCTGGAATGAGGGCCAGTACGAGGTACGGTACGGGCGAGGATCGGAATGCGGGTGGGATGAAACGCGGTAACGTAGTGTTGTGGTGTGGCTTGATTGAGACGTTATGCATTCTGGGATGGGATAGTTTTTGTGGATGTTCGATTAGGATCGAGTACAGCGTGGAGCAGAGCGATGAACCATCAATAGTTTTGATCTTGTGCTGAGAGGATTAGTGTGCCTGATTGCCGAATGTCAGTGCTTTAGCTCCGTGCCTCGCGTTTCAGATGTGCGTGGCCCCGGTGCTGGTCTGCACAGAGGTATATCAGACGGCCGGCGGCGGGGACAACATTTCGTCCGCCGGTCTGGTGCCCCAGATCCTCGGATAGCCGCTCCACGGACCAGCTGCTGCTCCAATCGGTACCGTCCCCGCCCGCCGCAGCCGCCGCAGCCGGCGCCCGAATATCCTCGTACTTATCAACGGGACGCTGTAAGATACTTGTAATGTGTCGGGGTCTGAATGAGGGGCGTGGAACGACGACATTGATGGCGCCTTTGAATCTTAATTCGGGAAGCTGGTTACGAGCGAGCGCCAGGAAGCTGGTGTACTGAATGTTGCTTCTCTTTGAAAGTGCTCGGTAATGTGTCTACAATGCAGGATGTCACATGCCTTTACTGCGCACGATCTATTACGATTTAAGTACGCTAAGCACGTGAGAAATCCTTACGGCAAAACGATCACCTGAACAGTATAAAAGGGAGACAGAAAAGTAAATTTTGCGATGCGGCAGAGTGCCGATTTTTTGGCGAGGAAATGTATAGTGACGTGTTTCCATGGACAGAATCATGGTTGTGATGATTGGATGGTGATACAGTTAGGCTGTCTCGTATGGAAGGAAAAAGATGAAAGACAGTCTGTTTAGGAGACTGGATGGTAATCATTCTCGTTGGGACAAAGGGCGATGAGCTGGCAGGTCAGTGAATGGTAACGATATTTTGAACAGCTAGAGTCGGAGTTCGGCGGGGAGTCCAAACCGCGGTGCAGACTTGTAAAAATAGGATCAACGGACAGGCTTTATTTCTGGCAAAACAACAGGTGTAAGTGTTTTTTCTTTCGCATTGCACATGGAAAATTGATATGATAATTTGGCAGGACGTTGATAGCCGCCTTTTAACCTGCCGTTAAACATGGTGTTTTACCTAAAACAGAAGCTTCATCATCGTCTGTCGACTTCTCTGCAGACGGAGAAGTCTGGTTCAGGGGTCAATCTTTGCCCCCAGTCAAGCAGCCCACTCGGGCTTTTCTTCCGGTCAGCTCGCGCAGCGCCGTCTCTGTCTGGCCGCTTAGATGGAACAGCGTGAGGGTTCCGGCTAGCACTTGGTCCACAGGACAGTGTTCAATCCACAACCAGCTTGTGCACCCGATGTTAATTCCAACCCGACCAGCCGCCGCTCGGTGGTTTGGCGGATACTGATCGTCGTCGCTCGTCTAGCAATGTGGCCGACTGGTGGACAGATGGACCGGCTGACTGGCGGGCCGGGCGGTCGGTATGCCCCCAGACCGGTTGGACCGGAGTCCGACGTGCCGGCGGGCGGGCAGGATGGGCAGCGGATGCCTCGTAAGGCAATGGCGGCGTGTCTGTTGACTGGCGGATAACTGTTCGATGAGGAAATCAATTTTACCGTTGCCAAGGAGAAACGTTCGACTCTTTATGCGTTCTTTTAGAAACGAAACGAAAGGCGTGGAGGTTTATAAGTTCATTTGAAACGATGGGCATGGTACTTGGAAGTCCGTTGGTGTTATTTTTGCAGGTCTATGCAGGAATTTTTAACTAGTCTGGCATGATATCAAAACGGGAAAGGTCCGCTTGCTATGCCTGTCGGGAGGTCGCTCACAGGGCGACACACGCGGCTGGTATAGGCAGGCCGGGCTGAGATTACAGTGCGGCTGGTATTGTGGGCGATAAAAGAACTGTGCGACACTCGCGTCTCTAGTCGGGGTGCATTGTATAGACGGTGCTCTCTATAGCATGGGTTTTCATTATTCTTGAGCAAAGATTATTCGACGAGTTCAGTGAGTTTTCAGTTGGCCTAAAATAATTATACACGACACTCAGTACATCGTCCCGCCGTCCTGCCCAGTTTTTAATTGTGGTCACCATTTCCAATAATTGTTCGCGTTCGTGGCTAACGTTTGCTCCCATTCCCACAAGCATTCTTCGCTGGAAGCGTTTTTGTCAAAGACCGATTGTTTGTGATAGACCCCATTCCGACATTTGGTGAGGCGCATATTTTCATGAATGTTTACCGCTCGTTTTTTTTTTTGCGTATAGTTTTAGACCAATTTGATATTGAATTGCCTGCATGATATTGGTTCCCATATCCATTTTACCAGATTATTCACCAAGCAGAGACCATATCTTGAATAGGGACCGTTAAATTAGCGTATGCTATCGAGGGGGTAATAATGACAGTGTAGGTTTGGAACAGAGGGCGAGCATAGAACACCTGTAAGTAGGGGACCCGCTGTTAGTTATCGCGGGATGACCGACTGTGTGGTAATTGGAAGTGTTTTACCAGTGCGCCAGTTTTGTTGTGCCATGCTGGGGTGACCATTTTGATTCCCGGCCCTTCCATTCCTCTTTCCACTTTAAAAGGCTCAATTCTGCGAACATCCCGCAGCTTCGTAGATCGAACACCCAACGGCTGGTACAATCTATCAATCAAACACCGGCGTGTATCAGGCCGTCCGAATAGTCCGATGATGTGCAAAACGGAGCAATCAGTCGCGGGAGTCTGGCGTTGCCAGTTGGGTGTGCGGTCTTGCCACTACGCGATGACTTTGTCCAGTGTATGTGTGATGTGTTATTGGCGGCGGTGTGATGTGAGCCCGATTACCGTGCGTGTCATTCCACTGGCCTGTATGACCCAGAAACAATACATCGGATTGAAATGAACGAGTGAACTGTCTGTCGTTTCGTGTCGTGCTTTCGGAATGACCCGAGTGTCACTGACACTAAAACATCGTTCGGAATCGGGTGTCTATATTCGTCTTCATCAACCCTCACGGATAAAGATATCAAACAATTTGCAAAACTGCACGATAATGAGGGAAATGGCACGCGTCGCGAGCCCTGCAATGTGGCAGTGCGTTCACCGCCACCGACTAAAACAAAGGCTAAAACATTCTCGCCGCGCGACGCCTGCCGTCCCGGGTCAGATCGCACGCCAGGTCACAGTCCCACCTCACGGAGGTCAGGCCAGGTCACACGCGGCTCTGAGGCGCGTCCTGATCCTGCCGAGGTCGCTACCATAAGGTCAATCAGTTTGTCCCACACACGCGGTGCCCTCCCCACCATCCCCCTGTCACGCCCCGACCCCCCCCCCCCCCCTCCTCTTAGTACCCTCTCACCAGGCTTCTGTACAGACCGACAGCGGTCAGCGACTCACCGGACCACCGCGTCACCGGATCACTCGCTGGGAACCGTCCCTCGGCTAGCCACGCCGCGCAGACCTCGACACACAGCGCTCTGCGTCCACCGCACGGCACAACACCATCGGAACGGCGACCGGCACCGACCAGCCGCCCGAACCCCAGCGCAGGGGCACACCGCCCCTCGGCGAGCCCCCGGGGGCGCCGAATAACCGGCGGTGCCTGCCGTGACGCCACATCTTGTGGACCGTCCCTGGGCCGCCCGAGGCCGGCCCTGCGTTCCTAGCTGCGCGGCGGCGGCGGGATGGGAGGAGGTATCACGCATAGTAAGACGGTGACACCAGCAGATCCGTCAGCACCGTCAATTGATCATCTGTAAACTTCTGCCGGTGCAGGCGCCAGTTCTCGTGGTGCGTCCGCTTGAAGTTGGTCATCGTCTTGCGGATGGTGGTCTGTTGGCAAGGGCACGGTGGACGAGTCAAAACGAGGAACAATAAGAGATGACGTGATGGCATGATAAGATCACGTCCTAAAGAAGCTCCTTAATCACATACCTGCCCAAGAATCCAGTTTTGCCCTCCTTTAAAGTTCAATAAAGATGACAATTTCAGTTTGAGGGCGTTCCGACTGCAAGGCCGTCGTCGTACAGCTTTCTAACCCTGTGACTACGATCCCCTCCCTTCCATCCTTCCATCCTCAGCGCGTACCTGGATGGGCGGGGGGTCGTTGACGTGATCTCCCAGCGTCATCAGCGTCTGCGGCAGGTGCTCCGGCACGTCGTACGGCGCCGCGTTCACGAACGCGCAAAGGCCTAGCACGCCCGTGTGTCGCTGCCGGAGCTGGGCCACGTGGTCGGGGGAGGGTGCCGAGCCGCGGCCGCGCCGGCTCAGACGCGTGCACGCCATCTGCTCAAACTCCGACTGTAGGAGGGAGGAGAGAAGTCAGTCTCGGAGGAGGGGTGCTGCCGCCGTTGGAGAGAAAGAAGGGAGGGTGGGTCAATCATCTGAAGATGAGAGTGCCATTGGGAAAGGATGAACAGATCATATCAACCTCTGGGGAAGAAAAGCAAGTTAGACACAAGTTTAAGCAAACAACATGGTACCACTAATTTCTATCGACTGCGAATATCGTGAGCTAATTACCCGGAGCTCCTGCTGTCGCGCGCTGTCGATAAAGCCGCAGTGCAGCAGTCCGCTGAACACCTGGACGGCCATCTCGCGGACCTCGACACGCGCGTCGTGCAGTCCGCGCACCACACACTCGGTCACCTGCAGGAACGGGGCATAATGTCAGTTAGGGGGCCAATACCACACTCTCGCATGGGTCAGGCGCCAAACCACCTGACACTCCTTCACGTCGTGGGGAAACAGCTAAGTCACACACTGCCACACGTCTTGAGGAAACAAATCGCACACTCGGCCGGGTGAGGGAAGAAGCAACAAAGAGTGTCTCGTTTACCCCCCCCCCCCAAAAAAAAAAAGAAACCTAACCAGCAATCGCCACTCTCCGATAAATCTTCGACCAGCAATTGCTCAGCAAACACACCCATACACCCCGGCCGTCCCACCCAATCCATCGCCCGTCACCCGTCGTACCGTTTGCGCCTCGTCCTCCTGGCCGAGCAGCAGGAACATGTTGTGGAACGCTGCCGCCTGCAGGAACGCCAGGCCGGCCACGCGCGCACGCCAGTACGGGTGGTCCATCACCACGCCGACTGCGCGCAGCAGGGCGCGCATCGTGGCCGCGTCGTGACGGGGCACCGCCATGGCGTGAAGCGTCTGAGGGAGCGCGGAAGGAGATGTCAGTCTGGCGTACGCTAAAAATGCCCCGCGATATCGGAATTATTTTGATAACACAAGAATTAGAAAACCTTCCAGGAGAAAGAAGAAAAAGCCCTAGCAGAAATAGAAAACCTTCAAGACAAAATGCGTCTCCGACTCTCCATTCAAGCTAAGAGTTGCTGAAGTCTTGGTCGAGAATTAAGGACGGCAACCCACAAGTCTCGACTCCTGAATAAGTAAACCCAGCCCCGTAGCTCACCCTGGCACAGTGCGCCTGTACAGCTTCTACACATAGAGACTGACATAGTGTCTGCAGGTCCCTGAGTACTCCTGCAGGCAGTTCTAAACTCACCCTGACACAGTGCGCCTGCAGGTCGCGATCGATGTCGTACGACTCCATGGCGCACAGGTGTGGCAGCAGCTCCATCATCTTGGGCGTGATGAACTTGAGCATGGTGTGAGCGCACGTCAGCAGATACTGGCACACTGCGGAGGGCAGCAGAGACATACGGATGGTGTTAGAAACGACCAGCGCACACGGTTCGAGAGGGCAGTCATGGCAGTGACGCACTAACATGCCGAGGGGAGTTTCCAAAAGTATAAACGATGAAGACAAAGTGAAATGTGAACGCGACCAGTGATACACGCTAGAATCAACCCGCAGCCACATCGCGCTTGGCATTTAAACGGTGTGTCGACTTTCGCCGTCCCCTTACGACAATCTCGCCGTCTTACCGGTTTTCAGGACTCTCATGGCGCTCTGTTTCTCCTCGCTGACGGGGGAGCTGCCGTTACCGGCCGGGTCGGCCGCCGCCCCATTCGCTGTGGCACAGAGCACGGACACTGTCAGACCGATAATTGCTGTATTGTGGAGTGCAAGAGACCTGCCTGAAAGGATCGCTTCGATACTTCCAAGTGCGTCACAAAATGAACAGAATCCACTAGTTCAATGAACGAAAATTTAGCAAACCATTGGTACTTTAAAGAAAACGATTAGTCTATACAAGTCATTGAAACAGATGAGTTATTCTACCGCCATTCTATCCACACACTCCTCGAATGTGAAACTGACCGCTGCTGTCTGTGTTGAGCAGGATGTCGAGTCGCGGCAGAACCTCTTCCACCAGACTGTCTGAGCGGGGACTGAGGGTCTCCGGACCGCCGTACACGTCCAGATGGTACACCTTGGTCAGCAACCTGTCATAGACACAGTCTTAGTCATAGTCACAACGCACAGACACAGTCTCAGTCATAAATAAATAAGCGTCATGAGACCCTTTGAGCAGGACTGGGCGCCTTTTCCGCCGTACCCTCAGTTATAGCTGAGAGCAGTTACTTGTCCGACTAACAGAGTAGTTTACTGATAATGAATGATAACTCTTATCACACCCGAAAGCGTAAGTACCGGGAGTGTGCATTGTGTATTCGTCTGTACAAGTTGACGATAACAAGTCTGGGTGAGAATAAGTCGGGGTAACAGTGCCACTGTCCCAGTACTCACCCTCCGACCCTGCTGCGGATGTTCTGGTAGGGGTGGTCCAGCTGCGGCATCACCATGTCCTTGACCCTGTGCAGCAGCTCGGCGCCGCGCCACTCCATCTCACCCACCACGTTCTGCCAGGGGGAAACGGGGGTAAGGGTGACGATACAGAAACACACTCGAGAGAACGGGGTCCTGGAATACATACCACAGTACGGGGTAGGATTCAGAGATTCCCAAAGCCCAGTATGACAGAGATTCCTGTTGGACAGAGATTCTCGACATAACCTTCACTCTCTCAAGTCAAGCGCCCTCGTTCGAAGTCTAGGATTCACTCTCTTCGCGAGTCCTCATTTCAAACATAAATCTCACTCTTTGAAGTACCAACCATTCACCCAACCATTAGCCTGCCCTTCCTGGGCCTACCCGGGCAGCCCATCCCTTCCTCTTCCTGTGCTGACCTGCAGCAGGAAGAGTCTGATTCCGATGAGGAACATGGACTCGTCCCTCTCGAAGGCGGGCTGCATCATCTCCTCTAGCAGCCAGTGGTGACGGTTCGGGTCACGGTCCGCCTGCGTGGGGAAGACGCGACGAACAAATTAGGGCGGTTCCATGGCGTACGCTGCAGCCTGTGCCACTGAATTGGAGCTTGAGCATGATACAGTGAATAAAAAGAAAGTCGTGTTACATTCAAATATTAAGCAAATAAAAATATTTAATATAAATATTAATTATTACGGTGGGAAATGTCTCCATTCAATTAATCATGGAGAACAGTAGAACAGTCTAATTCCCTAATGGTCTAGCAACCACTCTGAGTTGAGTGTTCAGCGGTTCGTTGCAGTTCAGTTCGGTTCAGCACTCACCACGCAGTGGCTGACACACTCGCCCCAGTTCTGGGCCGACTCCTGGTGGATTCTGCCCAGGCCGCGGCGGATCAGAGGCAGCAGATACTGCCACATCCGCTCGATGGTTGCGAACGGCCAGTGCTTGCTGCCGCGCACCAGGCCTGGAGGGAAGAGAGACGTCAACAGGAAAGAACATAATTAGAACATTTATTTCGAGAACCATTTAAATATAATTGCTGCCCGTTGACACAAGGATTTAATCGGAGACACGAATTTGCTTAAAGGATTATTGCTCATGTCTCGATTGAAGTAAGACCTAAGTACTTGTGACCTGTCAGCAGTGTCAAGTCAACCTGAACCATCATCATCATTCATCAACCATCTCGCTGTACAACCGTCCACCACCCATTCCAATGACCATCGCCATCTCGGCCGCCAAAATATCTGAGACCCTCACCTGCTATGATCTCGCAGAGGCACTTTTGCGCACTCTCGGTCATGTCCTCGCTGAGCCGGTCCATGTGAGGTTTGAGCGCATCCAGTACCTGGTCGCCGTGGTTCCTGAACAGACCCTGAGGAAGGCGCAGGGCGGTACTGTTACAATAGTCAAACTACCGTCGGTCCAATGCTGTCGTCAAGATGCTTGAACACAGCAGGGCGTATATCTCGGGCGGTTCGTCAGTTATACTAGCCCACATATTTTGAGGAGCGTCTAGTGGATACCTCATCACTGCCTCAATCACCTCTGACCAATCTCTCGCTCGCATACATCTACCTCACTGACACACCCAGCCATATCTCACCTTGAAGAGGATGAAGGGCGCCTGAGCGAACACGTCGCGTCCCTTGTGCTCCTCCAGGCTGAGGAAGTTCACCAGATCTCTGACCGACTCAGGGGAGGCGACGAACGCCCTGACGGCCTCCACCGCCTCCTCTGTTCCGGCCGGCGGCGGCGCTACCGTCTCGCCGTCCGCGCGCTGCTTGTACACGCGCATCTGAGCCGGCCAGCGCGCGTAGCCCCACTTCATCTTGTGCACGTAGCGCGCGTGCTCCCACTCCCGGGCGTCGCGCGGCGCCGTGGCGCTGTCGTACTGCATCCAGAGGTTGTTGGCGCGGTCTCCGAACTGAGACCAGGTGCGCCAGTCGCCGTCGGGCGCGCTGAGCGGCCGGTGCGCGTACATGGGACGGTGCAGGGCGGCCACCATCGACGGCTCGACGACCACCGTCTCGTGGCGGCCCTTCTGCTGCTTCAGGATGGCGCCCAGCGCCAGGACAGACGTCTGCGGGGCGCGCACAGGGCGGGCAGGGGCGTTATGGATTTGCATTTCTTGTAGATATCACTGGCACTTCGGTGATGAACAACAACTGAATAAAGCTCAATGGCAAAAAAAAAAATTATCTGAATCTCAACAGTCAACATCACATCTCCTTTTAGCCGGTCCAACATTAAAATTGCTGAGGCTAAATATCAGTCATATATCGACAATACAAATAATCCTTCTCCATCACTAATGTTTAAAAAAATCCATAAATCGACACCAGCCACCAAATTACCTCCCTGGCCAAACATAACACTTCCACCGCCCTCCCTCTGTATCATTCACCCAACCGGCTGCCACCGGACCACCCACCTTCCTGACGAAGATGGACGTGTGTAGCAGGCCCTGCAGGAAGAACCGCACCAGTCTGGCCGGCGCCGGCACGTCGGGACGCACCAGCAGACACACGAACTCCAGACACATCTCGTAGCGCCGCCAGTGTCTGTCGGAAGGGACAGTCGGTCAGACGGAGCCGCCCCGCCATTCGCTGCGGATGTCCAAAATAGACTACGAATTGAAAAAAAACGATACCAGGGAAACTGGATGTCCTTGATGACGGATACCGTTTTGGGAGCCTACCGGTAGCTTCGAGTCGGATGTGGTGAAGCGGACGGAAATCAGAATGCGTCGGCCGCGGGACCCTAATCCCACAGCAAATCGGTCCAAGACTGTATCAACAGGCAGTGAACCGACCTCGCGACTAATGTGCCAATCCTTAGCGAGTCAGGACACGGACTGTCATACTAGCCCACATTATTGGGCAGACCTCAGGAACTACACCAATCACTCACAGCGTGCCCGACTCCATGAGCGTCAGCAGGCTATCCAGCAGGTTGTCGTAGGAGGCGCGGTTCTGTCGGCTCAGCGCGGCCAGGCGCTCGGCCCCCTCCGCGGTGATGGAGGCCGACTGGGTGATGGGCGGCTTCACGATCGGGGGGCTGGCCCAGAGCAGCGGCACCAGCTTCACACACTCTTCAGACATCTGTACGGACAGAAGGACAAATAGTTCATAAATTGCAAAGCCTTCAGCAAAAAAAAGGTCGCATCAAATATAGACCTGACCATGACGACTGTCCAGAGACGTCCAAGCTAACGAAATATCCTTCTATGTCAAGTTTTAAATTTTAAAACATATATACCTCGTCTCTTGCTTTGTCACACCGCCCTGTGACAACAATACTGCCGCACACACATAGCACCCAATAACCCGACTCCCATCTACCCACCCACACCTTACAATCCCAACTTCCGCTCCCTCCGACAGTGACCCTCGTTCTGACCTGAAGCTCCAGCGGGGTCGCCTCGTACAGATCCGTTCCCTTGCGCAGCTTTTCGATGAGCACCACAATCGAGTCCTTCTCCGAGCTCGCGCAGGTGACCAGGGCAGGCCACAGGGCCTCGGCCATGTCCCACTCCTGGACGGAGAGCAGAGACTGCATGCCGGGCCCGATCACCACGTACAGCAGACCCTGCGGAGAAACGGTGGCGACAGGGAAGGTCAGATGGAGGGTATCCTTAAGGCTAGCGTAGCGAGCATTCATTAGTCATCTGACAAGTGACAGCTAAGTCGTTCGGTGCCAGTGTGGATGCCTGTAAGTCCTGTATGGATGCCAGACGCATAAAAATGGTCGTGCGTTAAAAAGGCATCACGCTTTTTCGTTATACACTGATGTCAATTTCAGGTTGAAGAGCGCCTCTGAGCGCCACTGACCATAATCGCAAATGACCACATAGATGCTTATTCAGCCTCTGACATGACCCCAACTCCTATTCAGCACACTTCACAGGTAGGTACCCTTATTGTCGCATCGCCAATCCTCACCTTGAGTTGTTCGTGAGTGATGTCTGGCTTCCCGAGCATCTCGACCAGCAGTGGCCACAGCACGAGCAGCGCCTGCTGGCAGTGGCTGACACAGCGGAACAGCACGCTCTGCGCCACCTGACGCACCTGTGATACGGACATATGGGGTTTATCTACTCATCTTGATGATGATTTGGTGTTTTAGGGCGCACCAGCAACGAGGCTATATCACGCCCATATCTAACCAATCTTCCTCAAAGTCGGGGGTTAAAAATCACCTGAAGCCCGGAGGCCGTGATGAACGAAAAGAGGCGAAAGGAATCGAGAAAAGGGGAGTCGTCGCGGAGAAGTGTTCTCAAAGAGAGCTGGGGGCCACGCAATCCAAAAAACCGCAATCGCTCAGCGTCCAGTCTCGGGCACTCGACCAAGACGTGTCGGACCGAAAGTCGGTCACCACATCTGGTGCAAATAGGCCTGGAGCCAACGCCGATAAGGAACCCATGGGTGCCATAAGTGTGCCCGGTACGAAGCCGGCAGAGGACCACCTCCTCGCGTCGCGATCTGCGTGAGGCCGACAACCAGGTAGCTAAACCTGGCTTGATACGTAAAAGTTTGTTACCGTGGGATTGGCTCCAGGCCTCCTGCCACTTTCCGAGGAGGAAAGAGCCCACCGCCGGTACAAAGTCCCTGGCGGGTAGAGGGAATCGGCGGGAGCACGGATACTGCGCAGCATGGTTCGCAGCTCGGTCCTCCCGTTCGTTGCCGTGAATACCGACGTGGCTAGGGATCCAGCAAAAAGACACCGACGTACCCTCTCGGTCGAGGGCTGTCACACGAAGAAGAATCTCCTGTGCGAGGGGGTCAGAAGGATAGAATTGTGACAAGGACTGGAGACCACTCAATGAGTCAGAAAGAATAACATATGACCGAGCGGGATTAATCTCGATAAAACACAGGAGTTTGAGGATAGCGACCAATTCGCAGGAAAAAACGGATGCATGTTTAGGTAAGGTAAAACACCGCACAGCGTCGCCGCAGACGAAAGCACACCCGGCACCGTCATCAGCAGGGATGCGGAGCCGTGGAAATTTCAGACGGCTCCGGCTCCGGCTCCGGCTCCGGAGAAAAAATCGGCTTCGGCTCCGGCTCCGGCTCCGGGTGAAATGTTATGGCGGCTCCGGCTCCGGCTCCGGCTCCGACTCAGTACATCCCCTATGCAATCAATTAAATACGGGTGGAATAAAAATTGGATGGGTTATACGCGTTACTCTTTGCCATGACCGGCTCATCGCGTCCCCGCGCAAACGCACCTCGGAGAGAACTGGCAGAACAAAGGACTAGGAAGCGATGGCATTGGAAACGCAGTCGCCGCGAATCGGAGTTCACTGAACCATCGTAAGCTGACACCCGTCTCGGCTGCATTGGGGGGGGGAGGGGGGAAGAGACGGTGCTGGGAGTCGCAATCCACTGCACTGGCTTCAAAACAATGGCCGTCACCTGATGACCGGTCCTCATGTTCTGGGGATGCAGTAGACGTGGGGGGGGGGGGGAAGGGGAGGAGCAGACAGGAAGTTGATTGCGTACTGTGGGATACTGGGGATATTCGGCTTTTTCATTCACTTGATGGCCCATGACGTACCTACTTACCATATGTTGTTAACTGCCTTGTACTGTCAAACCGAACTAGGTCAATTATTTTTTTCCTCTTCAAAAAATAAAAAGGAGCCGGAGTCGCCCCCTTTTTTGGCGGCTCCGGCTCCGGCTCCGGCTCCGGGCTATATTGTTTCACGGCTCCGGCTCCGGCTCCGGCTCCGGCTCCGGGCAAAATATGCCGGCTCCGGCGGCTCCGGCTCCGACTCCGGCTCCGGCTCCGCATCCCTGGTCATCAGTCTTTGAGCCGTCAGTATAACAGGCTATGTAGTCAGAGTACCTTGAAATATGTTCCAGCGCACGAGCCTTTAGAACAGCTGGAGGGATGTCGCCTTTTCTCACATCGGTGAGGGAAAGGTCCACCTTTGGCGGGACTTGTCTCCACGGTGGGACATATCTACTCATCTTGCAATACCCTCCGCACGTAGGCTGCAATGCAGTCACAGTCTGTTTGTATTTGTTTGTTAATTGGGGCTTTAGGGCGCACCGACTACTGAGGTCATTTTACGCCCATGCAGTCACAGTCTGAGCAGTGATGCTGCTCGAAACTCTTGTTTGGCGGGAAAATAAAATACCAATTCGGAACCTATCAGAAAAAGTTTCAAATCAGTAAATCGTCCCTCTTCTATTCACTGCACCGCCAGGCTTCAGTACCAGCCCTCTAACGCGTCTCATCGACTGTTTTTGACACTTCCACCGTCACGTCGCTCTAGACCAAACACACCAACGGTCGGTCGCCGGCTTCACTCACGTAGCTGTAGTGATTGATGGCGAGCTTGAAGACGTCGTGGATGACCATGCGGAAGGTTTCGCAGAAAGGCACAGTGTTGCCGTAGACGACCCGCTGGTTGTGCTGCAGCTGCACCCTGAGAGGTGGGATGGGCGGGATTAGTGGGTGGGTCAGGCGAGTATTTGAGTGCCCTGGGTTAGGACATCGTATACCTACCCCCGAATTACTGTTTCGCGCGCAAAACTCGGACTTATACCAACACTAAGCCTGCTCCACACCAAATCTCATCATTCACAGCATTCTCAGCATTCTCGACTATAAAACTGTCCCAATATCTACAGTAACTAAATCCCGACTCCTACAAAAACCTACCACGATCCAATCAGTCCCCACGCAGTCTCTTTGCGCCGGCGCTCCACTCACCAGGCTGCCAGGGTGCGACTGGAGTACTTTTTCGGCCCGAAGTCCTTTCCCTGAGACGAATGAGTGGTGTGCATCACCTTGATCTCGTTCTCGTTCTCACTCCGCTTCACACCAAAGTGGAACAGGGCCGTCTCCATAATCTGAGGGGTAGAGAAGAGGTTGTGTTAGCCGAGAGATGGGTTTGACAACTGAGCTCAGGCGGAGAAGCAAACTATCTGAAGCACACAAACAACTGAAAGGGTCCTATCAAAGACTGAGTGGCAGATGAAGCGGACGAGAATCGGGAACCCCCATCATTTGGGAGACCCTGCAGGAAATGTTCACAACACCGGCCGGGTTACATCAACAGAAATTCATCAGTGATTGACGGGCAAGAGAAAATTCGCACCGTCCAGCGTACAGCTGTAATACTGTACTACCCATCAACTGGTTACCCACTACTAGCCACTACCCACTGCCCATTCTAACCGAGCCCGAACTCACCGTGCACAGTTTGCCGAGCGACTTGGTATCGTCGGGCCTCTGGGTGGTCAGCGTGTCCGTCAGCCGGTGCATGACGCTCAGAATACGCGCCCGCAGGCCGGCGCAGCTGGGCAGCTGGGCGGCTCCCGTGTCCAGGGTCAGGGGGCTCATGTCCACCGCGATATTCAGGCTGACGGACACACAACCAAAGTAAATAATACAGCAGACACAAACAGAACCTTCATTACAAAAGCTGCAGCACGACGCCTAACCATCCCAAGGTTAAATTCCAAAGCAATTATGTAATTCCTTTAAGTTACCGGCTCCTCTCAAGTCTCGAGATTACCGAGCGGGCGCTACTTACAGGTCGATGGGCAGATCTCGTACGGCCGGCAGCGCGTACGAGGCGCCCTTCAGACCGTGGTGGAGGAGTTTCAGACGGCACAGCAGCTGCTCACTGGCGACACGCGAAGAGGGTGCAATCGTTATAACACCGACGGCGACCGGCAGTGAAGTTGGAAAAGACGGCGTGCGAAAAGGATGTTTTACGTATGCTGGAGGCGGACAGTAGGGGCGAAGAGTTGCCTACATAAACACGAGTAATAACCGGTGAACACAGATTGAACAGCGGTCACTTCCCCTGACCGATGCAGGTAGGGACGTTACCCTATAACCAGGCGGCCATAGGGGACCAAAGAGCAGCTCCTACTCCCAACGAGACATTTGAGCCCCTGGCCACCCCACACTAACCAGCCCACACCCACACTGTCGCGGCTCTCCTCAGCCACCACTCCCGCCCCTGTCGTCACTCACTTGTTGAGTCTGCTGACGTCCTCCATGAACAGCTCCAACTCGTCCAGTTCCGGCTCGACGAACTGGTGAACCAGCGAGTCAGCCCAGAGCACCTCCTCCTCAGTGGGCACGTGCCAAGAGATCTCCAGAGAGCGCATATCCGTGCACTTGCCCCATTCCTGTCGGTAGGTTGAGCGGGGGTTGGAATGCAATCATACTTACCCAAGATATTGTTCATGTGGGGTAATTTTTATTTTGAGGCACCCCGACTTCAGGTCCTCGGCACCCTTTATCCAAGACAGGTAGCATATACGGCTCCTCCAGAAAATTCTGTCTGAGACAACAGTCCATACTCACCACGCCTTAAGGCAGAATCGCCTTCGCAAAACAATAGCAGCAGCAGGTCCCACAATAACTCAACCCCTCCTACGCGGGGGTAGCCGTCACTGACCCTGACGATGAGGTGTCTCTGCTGAGGGTCGGCCAGCCGGCCCTTCAGCCCTCCATGGTCCGTGATGTAGACGGCCAGCAGGGCGGTCAGCACGCTGAGCAACAGCTCCGAGGTCAGCTCGGCGCCCTCCGGACAGGCCAGGTGGCGGCCGCGCTCCAGTACCTGCTCTAGGAGCGGGCGGTACGGCAGCAGGTACTGACCGCACGAGCACACCATCTGCGCAAGCAGAGGGGAGGGTATAACTGTCAGTGGCTGGGCGAAGGACGACGCGTTGGATAGTAGCTAACTAGACTGGGGCACTGGTAGAGGCCTTTGAAGGGTCGTGGCCGCGACATACTGTGGTCAACGGACACCGGGGAATGACGACAGGAATTACCTCTAGCTCAGCTCAGTTTTCTGGCCATCGATCATCACATTAGCTATCTTACCTCCGATAGCACGCTCTGAAGGCCGGTGAACTCCTTTCCTTAGACTCCGTCAGGCCCGGCGACCCTTCCATCCTCACCTCCTTGAGCAGCAGCAGGTTGAAGAGCAGCTCCTGGTCCAGCTTCTCCTCGTGCTGAACGTCCTCAGACAGATCCAGGATGGTCTGCACTACCGGCGGGATCAGCGTGCGCAGACCCAGCTCCGGGTTCGCCTGAGAAGAGCAAGTCATCGGGTGAGGACCGACCGAGGTAGTGTGAGCACATAAAATGTCACATAAAGACTGTAACTGCGACACGCATCATGGCCCGAGCAAAATCTTCAAAATGAGACATTAACATATTTTCTAAATGAACCTTTCTCAGACAATATTGGTGGAAAACCGGTCTGTGGTTTCTCCTTTTAAGTTTTTAAAAGGAAAATTGACAGCATCCATGTCAAATAGCTAGCAAAACAGCCATGGTAGCCACCCGTAAACTAACCATGATGGCTCCACAGCAGATGACGGCCGCCAGCTTTCCCGAAAGTCTCGTCTCCAAAATCCTCCCAGCCATGCAGTCGCGGAGTTTCAGCACCGCGCACCGCTGGATCTCCGGCGACGCCTTGTTCAGGATGCTAAAACAGGCTGTGCGGAGCACAGTGGGCAGCACGGTCTCCTCCTGCGAGCCGCGCTTGTGCTGCTGGTCGGGCCGCGAGTTGCCCTCCTGGCTGTTGGGCTCCAGGAGGGCCAGGAAGCGCGACAGCAGCTGGAGGACCACGTCCTCCATGCCGGCCGTCTGCAGACAGGCCTGCTGCTCCAGCTGGGGAGAGGCAGAGAGGGGAGGTGAGGGAGGTTAGAGTCGTACATGGATCCAGGGGCACAGACGAGCAAACATGGGCTAAAAGACCGGTCTTTAAAAAAAAGATGGAATAACTAAAAAAAAACACGCAAAAAGGACAAAAGCCGAAGATCAACTAGCTGTACACTGGCAGCGGCCACGGTCCCCTTCCAGCAAATCCGTTATCACCCCAACCACCACTGAGCTCGAACTCACACCACAGGCTGCTTTTCTCTTTCCTCTCCCCAATCTCCTCAACGACCTACCTCAGTCAGCTCCGGGTTGTCGGCCTCGCTCGAGCAGTCCACAAACGTGATCATATCGGCCAGCCGGTCGATCAGCACGAACGTGCACATGGTCTTCAGCTTGTCGTTGGGATCGATGCCGGGCAGCACGAGCTGCAGCAGCGGCACCACCTCTGGCCGCGGGCCTGACTCGGTCATGGTGCGGAGAACAGCGCTCACGGCGTTCATTGTGGAGGTGAGGCGATGTGGCTCCGTGACCGACTCCAGAGACTGGTGGAAACTGGGGGACACAACAGAAACGTCACGGTTCCAGACACTGGTGGAAACTGAGGTAACGGTACGCACGTCACAAACGATACAAGCAATTATGCACACGTCGCAAAGAATGGTGAACAAAAACAAAAGCTATTGCTACCACCTGCCATGCGTCTACCTATCATTTTCAGACTGTGCCACCATTACCAGCCACTCGTACACACTACACAGCCCAGAAGTCTCGAGCGCCGTCTGTACCTCTCAATGATGGGTGTGATGACCAGATCTGGACGCAGCTGGGCCAGCGCGCGCAGACACTTGGTCGCACGGTGGCTGTGGCCCCTGTTGTCAAGACACGAAGATGTGCAGACGTTCAGTGAACAGGCGTAAAAGCTTGGATTGAGCGAGCATCGTCAAAATGAAGCAGCTATCTTAGAAAATGTAAAAATAAAGACGCATTGCACGCAGTGAGGCACGTTGTAATCGATATTGTGCCGCGCATATAGCATATCAATGGCTGTCGCACCATGATAAGTCTGGCGTGCAAAATCATTTCATCCCCAGCTAAACAGCCCTACCTCTTCCCTTTAAAACTTTCCCATTCCCACAGCAGCCCCGAGCGAGCCTTACCATGAGTAGATGCCTAGCAGGGCGCAGGGCAGCACGCTCTTGACGAAGCGGGTGACATCGTCATCGGAAAGCTCGTGTCCCGGCGCCGTGTAGTGGAACCAGGAGGCCTTCTTGTGACGCTCTCTGACGGTACACAAGGGAGAGTTTAGCTAAAGGATGAGTTAATACAAAGCCGAAGAGGTCTAGTTAGATGGGTTAGAGGGGCTCGGCATGGGGGACGCTCTAGCCCTAAACAGCTACTCCGACGATTCAACAAGATAGAAGCGAAACACCGAACTCCGAATATTAATAGCAAAAACTGTCCAGGGACACAACACATGAAGAAAGAAATTATAGCACGGCGTCCCCCATCCCCTCAGAAATACAGTCCAAGAGGCGGTTACTGCCAGGGCCACTGACCTGTTGAGACGGCGGACAAACACGGAGCAGAGGTGGCTGAGGAAGCGGCTGAGCGGGTCCTGCCAGCTGCCCGCGTTGGACGCGTAGTAGTAAGACTCGACGGCCTCCAGCAGACGGTCCAGGTACACCTGGGTCTCCGTGCCGCCGCCCTGAGCGGGAGGAAGGGACGCAGAGGTGGACTGTCAGTGGGGGAAGACGGGACAGACTGGGCAGGTAAGTCTCAACACGGAGCGACCGCAATAAGGAGTAGCCGTGGCCAATAAGTGATGTGATCATGGAGTTATCGAAGTTCAACGAGCAAGCAAGCTGTCACGCCGGGGTGACGGCTTGCCTGTGATTGGGGTGCTTGGTAAGTGATTGAAGGGGCAGCCAAAAGACTAATCAAAAAGGGCAGCCATAAGACTTATCAATGACAACAGGATAACTGCACAAGAACAAAAAGGTCACAGCGAGTTGTTTTAGTAAGTAATCTGCCTTTCATGTGAGCTTGATGGCCGACCAAAGCAGTTTAATTTACCAAAACAACTATCCTCTCCCGCCGCGTCTGGCCGTCCCTCACCAGCATGCCGACGACCCAGGAGGTGAGGCCGGGGATGGCATCCACGTCCGAGCGCGGCTGCGCCACCTTCTTGTACGAGATGGGCAGCCCGAACGAGCGCAGGAGGCGAGCGAATACCTCCGGACGGAGAGTAGACCAGTCGATCTGGCCGGGGTTCTCGTACGCCAGCCGCGCCATCAGCGTGCACAGAGACTGGGAGAGGAAGAACGGACGCAAATATGTTAATAGGACGTGTAAAGCAGACGAACATAAGCACGAACGGTTCGGTATTTAAGCGGAATGAATCTAATCATAAGAGTAGCTGCATTAATTGTGTGGTCTAGATACTAGTACCTAAGCTCCAACGGTCATCAAATTATTTTCTCAGCTTTACCGAGCCATATGGATTGCGAAGTGCGAACTAAGGCAGTATGCACTCATCCAAGGCCGCCTAATTCGAAGGCACTCTCAGCTGACCACTCCAGCTCAACTCCCCACCCTTCCCGACACCCTCTCCTCTCAGTGCCCCACCCACCTGATCCCAGGCGCCGCTGTTCTCCATGATCTGCAGTAGGTTGGTCAGCTGCGGCAGCCACAGGCGCCAGCCGTGCTCGTACAGCTCGGGCGGCAGGTCCGTCGGCAGGAACGCCTCCAGACACTCCAGCACCCAGGTGGCGTTGGTGTCGAACGGACACAGACCCGGCAGCAGTTCAGCCAGGATCTCCTCTGTGGCCTCCACTGGGAAGAAACTATGGGGGAAAGGGGAGGGGTAAGTCTCAGCGATGAAGAGCCATTAAAGGGGAGTCGGGTAGTGGATGGGAGTTTCTAGGGGGAGGGGTTGAACAGTGGGGTGGGACTATCATTTAGTTAGTGGGGCCGAATCTACTATGGGCGTAGGTCAGGTCATGAGGTAAAGGAGAGGCCAGAGGGGTTGGGTGATGGGGAGGGGCAGCTAAATGGTGGTTCTATCGAGAATCCACGAGTCATCGACACTCGAATAGGACATTGCATTATCACAGATGTGTAATTGTCCGGGAACGACTGACCAGATAAGGCATGCCAAGGACGATAAGGACAGCTGTTGACGACGGATAAGATTGTGCAGTAACAAGTTCGAATGAAACAAAGGACAACGGCATCTAGCTGTTGGAGCGATGGTGGCAACCGAACTGACGTAAATCTAGAATATTTTAGCCGCACGAACAGCAGAACCTGTGCATAAAAACGCAACATCGTCCTTAGACGGTAGACGTTATCGTAATCGTAAGATGCCAGACAATTACACAAGTGAATGAAGTACGGGATGAAATAAATCTGGTGACCTTAGTCTCGCTTACCTCCTACAAACACGAGCCACCGACTTCACACTCCTTGGAGTAGAGCTGCGAACGAAACGGAACACCGTTAACACACAGGCCGACATGGTTGGAGCCGCAGAGTTTAGCTCCATAAGTGTTCCAGATAGTCTAGTTTAAGTTCACGATGGCTTGAATCAAGATCACGCTACACGTATTTTGGTGTGTATCTTCACGCACCAGTGTTAAAAAAAACGTAGGTAAAGAATGAAATGAAATAATGCATTTTCTTTTTGAAGCTTGCTTTATGCAAAAATATTGGCAGTTCGAAAAACGAAGCATAGGTTCCGCTTAGGCGCAGAGTCCACGGGGCTCCAGCCTAACCGTAGTATTTCTGCTGATAATCAGTCTACATCACTGCATTCGACGCATGACCCACCACAATGGGCGTCAGAGACCCATGGTGCTTTTACCCTCTTACTCGAGATGGAAGTTGAGTCGCATGGTTTTGAAAGGGTGCTTTGAGAAGCTCTTGTACAGGTCATAGATCGGACGCCACTCAATTACAAGGTCGTCCCTCGACAAGTGTCGTTTTCTGTGGAGAAAAAAAAACCATCCAGCTGAGCAAATCATCCGGTCGAAGCTGAAAAGACACACGAGTTGGCGTATGGCGTACACATGCAAAAAAAAACGACAGGTGAAATAAACCGACATTAAATCGATCATGTAAGCAAGTTTCCGCTAGGAACAAGCCCCTTCGGACACTATCACAGCGATGACTATCGTTTAAGCGTTTACATAAGTGCAAAATCAACTTGCAAAAACATCTTGAAGCGGCTGACAATACTCACGCCCTCTTCAGCAGCCGCCGCACTAGTTTGCTGCAGTTGCCAATGTTCCTGTAGTCAGTTGGTGACCGCTGCATCATGGCCAAATACAGCTTCACAAATAAAACGTGGTCCTCCTTCGACATGAACAGGAGGTAGTTGTTTAAAAATCTGGAAACGCAAATAAATCAAAGTTAGCGTTCACAATATTACAAGAGTCAGGAACTGAGCCAATGCTTTTCTGTTTCAATGTACTTTCAGCACACATTGTATGAGAGGTTTCATAAATCCCGGATCCTGGAAACAATGACAACAACGAGAATATTAAAAAAGATGCTGCAAAAAGATAGAAACGAATTTCACGCACCGTAACATGTCTGACCCATCGAACACGCGTGCACCTCCCCTCCCTTCTCCCCTGCATCTCTTACATCTCCAGTCGTCGTGTGTAGAGCTGAAAGCCGCGTCGGTCGTTCTCAGTAACCGCCGTGGCCAGGTTCAGTTTGATCTTGGCCAGGTTGTCGGCCGCCTCCTGGTCGAGTCCGCCGCTGTACGGCAGGTGGTTCAGCGACGAGAGACGCTTCTGCGGCCGGAAGCCGAGCCGCCGCTCGAGGGCCAGCTCGGCCGAGAGCTCATCCTGGCTGTCGCAGTCCTTCTCGGGCCCCTCGAGCTCCTCCTGGTCGCTGTCCTCCATGTCCATGGCGGAGGCGCACCAGCTGCAGTCGGCACACGGCGCGGGGTCTGCCGGCACGCGGGGAGGGGAGCGAGGGGTCAGGCGGGACCGGGTCTGTCGACACGCGGGGAGGGGAGGGAGGGGTCAGACTAATGGGGTAGAACGGTGATACTGACATGGCACAGCGCACACGGACCGATTGACGGCGGGCGGATATCATCGCCCCGCCATCCCTCCCCTCTCCTATTTTTTATATTGCGTAACATGCAAATCAGCGATGCCATCGCTCCTTTTGTTAATCGCTGTTACCTATTAATGTAATGGTATCCACTGTGTATATAAGGTAGAGCACATAATATCCCTCATAACTTAAGGTCAGCAATTCGCATCAAACTACAGTTCGTGCGCCGCAGATGGGTGTCCTGGCTCGCCACGCACTGCGGGAGCAGATTTATTACTGCCCAACGCACATTCTCAATTGCAACGTGATCAAAAACGGTCAATGGCTGGAAAAACTAGATTGCGAAAGCGCCTCGGATATGCTTCGGTTCGGTGGAAATAGGTCACGAAGGTTACCAAAGGTTAAATAATTGTCGTAAAGAATTGTCGATTGTCGACAATGCTAAGCAAAAAAAAAAGCACTTGCACTATCTCAAAGAGAAAAAGATACCGGTATATTTCACCCATGTCCCATGGTTTCCTTTGGCATCAGAAATGACACGAGGACGAAAAATGGCCTTTTAAGCCAAAGGTAAAAGCACCTAAAATCATTTTCCCTCGGTTACATAGAGGGACAATTTGAGAAGTAGGTACCTACCTCGACTGAATCAACACCCATCGGACAAGGTAGCAGAATTTCAAGCTTAGGTGTCTCAGGCTCAGTTTTTCTTTAATCTGCCACTTCCAACAAAGGAAAACAGACGCGCCCGACTGGAACGGGCTGACCAAGACTTTTGAAGATTGCAAGTGTTCCCAGTCGATACCATAATACCTACTGGAATGAATTATTCCTGCTTTGTTTCAGTGTCCCCAAACCAATATAAAGCAAGCGGGAGTATCTGCCTAATGTAGCCTACATAGATTAGAATTTAGTTCCCAGTTCCTCTGCTCGGCTCACCTGGGTTAGTTCCTTGTCTCATTTTAGCCGTAGAGGATGACATAAGGACGAAAAGGAAGGCCAGAGGAAAGACGGGCTGGCGCAAGTCATGTCCATTACTGAAGAATTTAGCCGCTTCATGGATGATTTGGCCCTGAACGAGAATCGTTTTATTAGAATTGTCGTACACTTAACGGGTGAAGGCGGTCTTCACCACGATGTTGTATCTTTACTAGAACTGTATAATACACGTCCAAAACACTCACAAATAAACTGCTACGAAATACGGTAAACGGGAGACGTGTCAAAAGACAATCAACAACGAGCGATGGTGACAGCTCCCAACATCATACATAATTGCTCTATGTTTTTCATCGATGATAATACCAAAGTGATATTTTCAGGTGATCTTTTCATAAAGGTGTGGACATAGGTGGAGAAATGTGCCGAGTTATGGGTGCTCAGACAAAACCAATCCGCCGCCGCACTAGCGGTGTCCGGTGACCTTGACCCGCGCCATCTGTCGCGGCTCCAAAGCCAAGCCGGCGCGGAATGGGAGCGCTCGAGCACCAACAGTACAGCACAATTATCCATCTATGGATATGGAAACTAATATTTTGGCGTAAGAAATGATCTAATACTATCTCAAGAACATAGTATCGCGATCTCATATCGCGATGCTTAACTTGTGAATTGCTGAGATTGCATGACGTCATATATGACGTCACGAAGGCAATCAGTTTGTCGTCGATAGCTCTCGATCAAGCTTAGCTAGCCAGGCGGGAAAGCCACCAATGGACCCAGAAAGACCTACCAAATCAAATGATATATCATATGACTTCTTTGAGCCAGTTTTGTGAACTAAGCAGCAATGAGTTGATCTCGATTTGAGGTCAACACCTAAGTCCTATCCCGGGCAAAAGTGTCACTCGGCGCATGACAAACACGACGGTGCAAAAACTGCAGTTCTGCTGCCATTTTTGCGAAGCTTTCACCATCCCCGCCTGGAGCATTGACCTGACCTCAAATGTCACCGGTTGACCCGAAACCTTAAAATTGGATGTCTTCCACTCGCTACGTCTGGCGCACAGCACAGACGTTTTTGTTCCGGGGCGAAATGGAGGACACACACCCTCACCACTCACCCTTCCCACAAAGCCAGGACGAGTGAAGAACAATTAAATGTACGGTGAGAGTTGGCTGTTATTATACCGCCCAAACTCGACAACATTAGTCAGCACGCGCCCGGCCCCGCCAGACGAGGCTGGAAGGCTGCCTGGACGGCTGCTGTCGTAGCCGTGTTTATTATAGCGCCCCAACACGGCATCTTGGCCGCCGCGCCTGGCCACCCAGTTATTAGGCACTTCGTTTGCCGCTGGTTTGCGCCAGCCCACGGCCGCCGAGCAGGTAGACTGACCCGCACGGCACCTGCGCCCTGCGGTGCAGTGTGAAGGAACCCATGGCCTGTGCGCGTGCGATCCGTGCCGCTGGATATTTATTTACTCTGTGCAGTCGCCGGCCAGGTGACCAGGTGTGGTACAGACGAATACAAGGTGAGTTGCCGCGGTGGTAGCGCGACACAAATCGGAAACACACTAACAGAGTAAGCACGTAAATTACAAACACAGATGGAGCTTTGTGCCGAGCTGGGGGTGCCCGAGCTCTCCCAATTCCACACCGACTTGGCTTTGGAGCCGCAACAGACGGTGGAGGTCAAGGTCACCACTCACCGCTAGGGAGGTGGCGGATTTGTTGCGTCCGAGCACCTCCAGCTCGGCACAAACTTCCACCCATGAGCAGACCACAACGCTGGACGAATAATAAAAGCAGTTCGAAACACGCATTTGCACGCCCATACACCCAAACTATGAGAGTCAGAGCAGTTAGTTAAACCGTGGTTAAAGTTAATATTTCTGGTGTTGTAAGTCATGAATGGATGGATTGACCAGACCAGAGTTGGCGCCCACCGAAGGTAATCATGTGGATGCCCTAATTCCTGAATTGTACCGTGCCACTTGTTTAGAAAATTGATATCTTAGTCAATATTCATCCATATATCATCCATATATCAAAGACAGAGTCTCGTAGTCAGAGTAGACCTGTCAAGCGCCGGAGCGACTGGAATCTACGCACGGAACCAGAGTACAATGTTCTACCAACGAGTTACGGGACAGGAGTCAGGACTAAGGAGTAAGGATCATATATGAAAATTGAAGAGAACAAAATGAAAAAGGGAGAGTTCTTATTTTCAACCTGACGAAAATACGACCAACGCTTAACTATTGCCGTTGGCGGGAAGGGGAAGGGGGCGGCTGTCGCCCCTTTCCTGATGGATTTTTCGCGATGGTTTGAACTGAAAGTTGGCACACTTGACCCTTGATTCAAGCTGGATCTTTTGATATCAAGTGCACTTTCAGGTCAGGTTAGGTCACTGAGCTATGACATAATAAGTGGATTTGTCAAAAGGGTCACTTGAGGTCAGGTAGGTCACATAGCCTCACCATTATAAGTCAATTGGGGAAATAGGGAAACTATTTTCTCATGCCAGAAATAATCTAAGACTACCTCAAGCACATGGACTTGCAATTTTATACACACCTTGCAAGGTCAGATGTTTAACTTTTGATTTGTTGACCTAGTGTCACATCAAGTACCTATGAAATCAAGTGTGACATCAAATATGACATCACTAAATAGAGTACATCATCAGTTTTTCATCAATAATTCCCAATCAAATTAAGTCAGCGAGTTGGAAAAGCCACCAATGAACTCATGAAGACCTGCCAGATCAAATGATATGTGATATGACCTCCTTTGACCAGCTTCGTGACCTGAGAGGCTTTGACCTGACCTTGAATGGAGGTCAGCACCCAAAGTTGAATTCAACCAAATAAAGAGTAGCTCATTAGATGCAACTGAGCATGATTGGCACAATGGTACCAAGATCGCAGCTCCGCAACCATTTTTGGCAAAGCCATTGTCTATAATCTATACCTTAGGGCACTGACCTGACCTCAGGGGTTACCAGTTGACCTGAGACTTTGTTATGTTATGTTTTCTTTGTTATGTGCTCCGAAAAAACGTGTCTATTACCTATAGTTCTGTAAACACAAAGTATGCACTACCTATGATACAAGCAAAGGGCAACAGGTAGATGCTCACAGGGTTGTGCAAAATCACCTCGACATTTCAATTTGTTGGGGGTCTATGATACAATGCAGGCACTCTGCATGTTTCATCAAAAATGTTTTGCTCCTATTCTTTCTACATCTGCTCTTCAAGACACAAATCAAAGCAAGAATAAGCCACATCCTACGTGATTAGCCATTAAATTTTGGGATCATTAGTACAAATAAAGATCAGGCCAGCTTTAAGGCTCTAGTAGGTATGTAAACATGACCAAAGCTAAGCATAGTTAATCCAACTTACACTACACTGTTGTATCCTAGGATATCACCAATGTTGATCTGGGGTAGGTAGGTATCTACATAAGTAATATTATAATCAGAGAAGCTTCTGCATGATGAGCTACCCACCTAAACACTCTTTTTAATAGCAGGGTGGCTGGTGCAGCAGTGCGCTGATTATCTATAGGTACTCTAATAGTTCATCATCTTTATCATGCCATATTAGCAGTCTGGGAGAGAAATACCTGAACTTGAACTTCATCATGCATCATCTCATGGCAAACCAGAAACTCACAATGCATAGTAGCTAGGCACTAGGTACCTACCTATTCAATCATTCCAATGCCCATGAGCTGCATATTCCAATGCCCAATGCCCATTATGGACTGGGATTTTGAGTCTTGATTTGATTACATAACAATAAGCACCCCAGCATGAAGTCTGTAGGAAGGGTTGTCTCAACTTGTTTTTTATTAATTTTATCTTCAAGAACTAAGTTCAGTCTGGAGAATGAGCACCAAATTGTAGGCCTGTAAGCACACTATGGCTTGCCACCCGCCCCTTGAAAATAAATCAGCTTCAACTCAGACACTCACCTTCACTTGTGAATTTTTCACCTTCCCCAGCAAACCGACGAATCGGCAACAGAGGCAACGAGAGAAAAGAAATACAGTAATTCTAGCTAAACAAAACAATGGTGTCAACGGAGAAAGGGAAAGCTCAGCTGTCAGTATTATCTTACTTGATGTATTTATTACGCGCATATCTTGAATGTCTTCTCAGCGCCGTTTCTGCCTCGGCCAGATTTCATAAATACGTTCCGTATTTTACGTTCCGTATTTTACGACGCCCACTTCCACTAAAGACGTATCACCAGCACCTTTGCACCACAAAGTAACAGACGTACTTAGATAGTTCAAATGAGCGAATCAAATTGGAAATAAGAAGGGTAGCACCATTCCGTGTCATTCACAAGCTTGAAAAAGGAAGAGAAAATGGCGTCTGGTACGTAGGCCCTTTATGACACTGGGTGGTATCCAGCCTTTGCGCGTTGGACGCTCGGCGCTCGTTCCCACCTTCTTATGACGTCACGATGGCAATTCGATTGCTGCTTCTGCTTGTCATGTCGCGATGAAAGGTCGAGAATTACCCCTTTTTTTCTCCCTTACGAAGCGTTATGCACAAAATATGTCACTTTTCCTTAAAAGAAAGTGTTAATCTTGCCAATAGGATAGTAAAATACTGGATAATAGCCTGTATTGCGACCGGATATTCGGCTCTTTTTCACAAGGGCATAAGGAAATTTTCAATCAGTGTGTGCATCCAGGTGCGCCCTTAAAACCCTGATAGTCACTGACCCGACAGTCGTTTTTTTCTGTCAGAGCCCTTTCGAAAGTGTAACATTCATTGTCATAAAAGCATAGGATATTGAGGTATGACGTCACCATATGGAATAGGCAAGTGTGACGTATTGAAGGCAATGGGTGAGCTTGGGCATGACTATCGACGTGCCTGCCTGGCGTAGTTTAGGCCAGTCCGCTGTGAGTCAGCATCTTTTGCCAGCACCAATCACAGCATGCCATTGGGCTTTGACTCCGCCCTCTTCTAGTCGCGTGATACAAAATCACGCGTCTTAGGCGTGATCATAGGCGGCTGCCCCGTGGCAGGTTAGGCGTTGGTTAGGCGGTGGAGCGGGGAGGGGAGAGGGCGGCTGAAGGCATCTCACCTTGGCCAGTTGCCAAGCCCCGCCAACGCGTTTTAGGTTTCAGTTGTTGCCAAGGCTACATAACCGTTGTTACCATGGCACCGTGTCTTGGATCTTCGACACGTAACTTAGCATTCACCCGGGGGAGGGGGAGGGGGCTAGGGACTTAGTAGACTGAGGGAAGTATTTTGGCCACAGATCGTCGGGCCTGTCGTTTTTTATATAAGGCTGCGGCCGCTGCGGCCAAGGGCATAGGCGGCGGAACGGGGAGGGCACCGGGTACCGTGCCCCCCCCCCCCCCTTTGATTTTGGCATTTAAACATCAGCCCTATGGGGGTTGCATGGAAAGAATGGGACCAAAAGTCGGCAGTGCCCCCCCCCCCCCTTAATTAAAAGTGTTCCGCCGCTACTGGCCAAGGGGGAGGTGGCCACTCTCAGCTCTCTCCCTGTTTCGCGACTCTATTGAGGTAGAGGAGCCTGGATAAAAAACGAGCATGTGTGCGCCGTTACAGGACGCAGCGCAGCGACTGGTATCCGCCCGCGCCCCGCTGGGGCCCGGCAGTCCTGGTTTGCCACGCCCTGCGCTGGGGGGGGGGGGGGGGTGAACAGTGAACGCCCCCTCCCTCTAACTCGGCTCCTGGGCCACGTAGCGATACAGGAAAGGCGGCGTTCGAAAGGACGTCAAAAATAATGATCCGATATTACTTCGGTCACTTTTTTGGTCTGGTCAAAAGCTAGGTCACCAGAGGTCGTTGAAGGCCAAATTTCGCCGATTTTCAGGTCGAATGTCGACAATTTTCAACAAACCTACACATAGGGGAAGCCGGGGAAGCCCGGGCGCGGGGGATGCCCGGCCACCCCGTTTCCGGCTAAATTATTCACAATAAAATGCTCAACTGTTTGTCCTTTCAGCGTGGCAGCTGAGGTAACGCCAGTGCAAAAGGTAAAGCTAACAAAAATTGCATATTGTTTAGTTATAGAGCAAAAATTACCTATATTTTAAGGGTATTTAGCTAAAAACTGAGATATGATGCACTGTTATTATTATACCATACAGCCCTGATATTTATACCTACAGATGTTATGAAAGGACCGTCTAAGTGTTTGTAGTGAGGGGTAACGAGGCAGGCTGGCTTAAGTACGACATTTTGTTTCGAACATCGCTGTTCTAAAATAAAATTAACACATTGGAATAACCCCATGCGAGTGGGCGAGCTTACCCCCAACCGAGAGCAATGCCACTAAATCGCTGTTTTCCATGAGATAATAGGTACTGAGTAGTAGGTTTGGTTTACACCTGGCCCAAATACCTAAAAATTTTGAAAATAAACGTGTTAGTAACATAGACAAAGTCTCTTTAGCTTGTCGCTCTATTCCAGTGCCCATACCTTTCAGTGATGGATGAGGGGCGATTGCTTGCCTGGTTTTTACTGTAAAAATATGGGAGAGATCTGCTCCATTTTAACAGTTTTGGGTTATACTATCACTTTATATCAAGAAGTGTGACTAAGTTTATGTTTGGTTTGTAGGTATGATACAAGAACGGTCATGTCACTTGAGGTCAGCTATAAGGGTCAAACTACGTTTTTGTATTCTTCTTCATCAGCCGAGTCGAATGATATGTTATATGATGCATTTAAGTAAACGAAAAAATAATAATTTTAACGAATTTAAAATACACATTTTTGTCTATTTTGCATCACGATTTTATTTTTCATCTACCTGTGCCCTATATGTGGTAGACGCTGGCTAAAATACCTGAAGTGTCATAAACTCCAAGATGTCCAGAGCTAAACAGTACCTTAATATTTCACTTTCCGTCAATATTTGGAGGACACATAAAGGTTTCACCAACTCGTTGTTAAGCGCTAGAGAGGTGGCTGGCGTTACCACTATGTCGGGCTTACCCCAGAAAAATTAACACTTTTTAAAATTCTAATTTATACGCAACTTTTACTAATTCCACAAAACCGAGTTTTTGAGAAAACACGGCCAATTAACTTATCTAATATCTAGCTAACAAGATATCAACATTTTATACAGCAAGCAAGGTATGTAATAAAAATGAAAAAGAGCTTACTATGCCGGGCTTCCCCCGGCTTCCCCGGCCCTAATTCGGAAACTAGTAGTGCTACAGCGCCCCAGGAAAGTGCATTTGATAGCCCTATTAACGCTCTTTCTGAGTAGTTCTCCCAGATTTGGCTAATGTCAACGGTTTTGCTTGCAGGAGCAGGGGGCAAAAACTGACAGACAGACAGACAGACAGACAGACAGACAGACAGATGTTTATTCGGAGCCTCCATAAATGGGTTTTGTGGCTTCCACGTCTATATAATGCGAAATAAAAATATAAAATATCTAGATAAAACCACATAGCAAAAGTACAAGCACACTAAAAACCACTAAACACCATTCCATTCCTTACTAGCACGAAAAAGGAAGCCACGGCGGGCGAGCTCGGTTCTTACACGAGGCAGATTCAATAGTCCAAATTCTCGGTCGCACGAGTATAGTCGACTACAGAATGATGTTCCACTCCTCAGAAGCTATCAGTTGACCGGAGCGCTAAGTCGTGCCGTTTATCACGCAATTAAGCGTGTCGATTGTGAGCATTGGGACAAAGCTATAATTTGTGAACTCAGTCCGTGTGATGCGGCACAGCCTACCACTTCAGGCAAATAAATGCCTGTGAAAAGTGGAGCATCATTCTGTGTCGACTATACACCTGGTAGACTCGTCAAATCTTCAGACCAGCTTATTACGCAAGATCTCAGATCTCAACTGCCAAAATGGATGATTTTTGCGGTAAATTTTTCTGCAATAACTTTTTATTCACACATTGCACGAGCTTGCTTTTAGCTCCATCGTCATTCCATTGTGCTCCCCTTGTCAAGGCGCATCAAATGATTTGATGACCTATGATTTGACCTTGAAAGGTCAACTTGAAAATTTGACCTCAGGTCAAGGTCATAACCTGACAGGAAAAGGTCATGTTACATATCAGTCGATCCGTATTGTCGAGCTGAACATGTTCAAGGCGTTTTCATTGCTCTAGCATGCCTCTATCAGCAATTATTAGCGAAAAACTGTTAGATACCTACCATTCGTGACTTAAGCCCTCGCATGTGTAGGAGGGTCGGATGGACCCCCCCCCATGATTTTTCGCGAATAGCTCGCGCAAAAAGCGGCCGATCGCGACGAAGCTTTCAGTACCCTCGATTTGACCAATTTTACACCTACTCTGAAAATGTCATGACCCTGACCCAAGTGACCTTTGACCTGTGACCTATTTCTCGAGACCACGTTTGGCCGGAATCGCGATTCGGCGCCTATGTCGGCTCGCATTAGCAGCGCGTTTGCAAGCTTTTCGTGGTTTTAAACGTTCAAACATATGATTTGGTGTTGTTGCTCCCATGCAATAGGGTGGATGTCAAGGTTACCTGAAGGTCAGGTCAGGTCACTGACCTTTGGTGACCTCGGTTCACTTTTTCGAGTTTTACATGTTTCTAGGCTAGTTTTTTTTTTAGCTGAATTCGAATTTAGAAACCATTTGAAACCCTGACTGTGGGGGGCAAGGCCGGTGACTGCGGGGGTTTGGCCCCCCCCCCACCCCCCCACCCACCCCCAGTTAACATGTTAGACGAGGCCCTGCCAAATTTGGTAGGTCGATGGACGACTAATCTGTAACGTGCCTTCCGTTTATCTCATTTTTGTTATTTTGATGTAGGTATTTTATAATAAAAACTTTTTTTTATTTTTGAGGGGCAAAATCCAATTATTTCTTTTAATCCGGGATATAGATGTTTCATGACCCTGTTCATTATACACTTTTCCGTGCTTATCATTTTTCTCTTCCCTCAAAACTGTAGGCATGACAACTGACAACTCTTACCGCAAAACCTTTTTTGGAGTCAAAAATGGCAGAACATGACGCCATTCTGATGTCCTTTGTGACCAACCTATCAAAACCTTTTGAAAAAATGACCTATGGTGTAAAATTGGTGCCCGGAGGGGCTGAAAATTTGTTGAGGCATCTGCAATACTTCAGGAGGAGGAGATATCGACAGAAAAGAAGAGGGGGCCGTTTGGCCCCCCCCCCCGTACGGGACGTGGGTTTACACGCACAGGAAGGCTTCCGAGAACTACGCCCAGTGGAAAGGGGACGAATGTCGCCCCCCTCCCCCTCCTAAGATCTCAGCTCCTATGGAAGCCAAAAAGACGGAATTTGGAGGGTGGGTGGAGGTGGTGGGGAACTCTATTATGTGTTTATTCCATGATACTAGGTCAATACTCAATATCTTCAAGGTCAAATGAGGTCAAACGGGGTCAAATTAGCCAGTATATTTTG